GGAAGGAACGTCTGCTGTTCATTTCTTGTATTGAAATACCAAATCTCACTGCATTAGTATGCGTCCTGAGAATGGATGGGCTTTCATGCACTAACAGCATATGTAAATTAACCTTTTCCTAAAAGCAGGCACATCTTATTAGGGAGAATACGGTTGTCCTGAGAGGTCTGCTTTACTCTTTTCAACATGAAATTCTAAGAATTGCTGGGGTTTTGTTTGTTCTGTGGTTTCTCCCCCCGCCCCCCGGCTTGGAATTGATGGAGAGCACCACTGGGCAGGAAATAGTGGGAGCTTTTGTTGAATCTTAAAAGAGAGAGGAAAAGGGGCATTTTCACAAATGGAATTAGGATGATGCAGCAAAGTTTTGGATGTCTGCCAGGGAGGACAGATGCATCGAGCATACAGTGCCTTGTCTACGAGACTGCACAGTGGCAGCTTCCTGATCTGTTCATACAGCCAGCCCACAGCCCGGCATAATCACTGCAAACAGAGCACTGTTCAGCTCAGCGCTCGCGTGTGTTTGCCTGGCAACTCTTCATAGCTGAGTATGGCAAATTTTCAGCCCCTATGAACGCTACTGAGGCTTCACAACATTTTATTACATAGTAGATTATATTTTTAAGTAGTAGAAAGCACGTTCTTTTTATTTGCTACTGTGAACAAGCTTGTCTTTTTCTGTGCAGAACTGCAATGTAAGGTACTCTCATTGCTGTCAAAACATCATGTTGGGATAATGTGATAGTCGGTACCTTCTGTCCAGTTATGTTTAATGGAAAACTTCACCACAGGGGCTGGGATCCCAGAATCTGACTCCTGAGTTGTGTGGGCTGCAATGTGTGGTTCCTGCTCCTGGGTGTTGGAGTGCATCTCGATGCAGCAATTTAACTGATTTCTCAGCTTACCTTGAGAGAATGCCTGCTACAAACATACTTAAGAGATCCCTAACTAAGCACTGAAGTCTGCTGGTAGAGATGGCAGCATCTATGTTGTGTGGTTTACAAAAAGTCCCTGCAGGGACTGCTATAAATCTGTAAGAACTATTACAGCCAAGGTCATTACATGTCCGCAGCCTCTTAATGCATTTAGCCTGCCTAGCAGGTAGGTGTCATTGTTCTTCAATAAGGAGGCTTAATTATTCTGCACATCTTTATGTAAGCCCCATTAAGTTGGCTGAGATTTTGCATCATTGAATGACGCTGTGGGAGATTCCCTTGATTGACAGACAGGCCAAAACAGAAGAGCATTTACTATTCTGTAACTAATGAGAGGAGGTGAGGGATCAAGTGGTTGCTGATAAGAAGAATTGGTCTCTGGACTTTGAGTTAATGAGGAAGAACACATATAACCAAATACCAGTGTGAGGTGAAAGTGATGTATGCTGCTCAATTACCAAATAAGAGTGGCTTGTGGTTCAGAATACCAAAGCACAACAGAGGAACTGCCTTGCAGCTTCTAGAACTTGAAAGGTTTCCCTGTACTGTTTGTAGTGCTGTTTGAAGGGCAGGGGAGCTGTGCTTCCAGAGCCACTGGGGAACAATAAATACAGCGATGTCCAGTGCAGGTTTTCAGATGGACACTTTTAGCATTAAGAGTTCTTTAGTTATAAATTAACTGGGTTTGGTTTGTGGATTTGAAAAAGTGAGCCTGAGGAAAGATGCTAAGTTATTAATGGGTCTCCAGTAGTGTTCCACTGGGCCATGCTTTGTTGTTGTGTTGTGAAGCACTGTGCTTCGAGGCTAAAATGTGATAAATGCCAGAAAATGAAAGCGATTTGTGGTACTGCAGTGCAACGCATGTTTGTTGCAGACACAGGAGGTGCTTGGCATGCGCTCGTACGTTGGTGTTCACCATCAAGTGCTGCCTTCCTGGGCGTGAGAGACCAGTGCTCCTGGAGTGCCCGGCTGGAGCTGTGTGGAACAATGAATGTGTGCTGGAGAACTGCCCGGGAAAACTGTTGACTTCTGACCTGATTGCTTCCTATTGCAATTAAAGCTGCGTTGTAGTTCTGGCAAACCTTGGCAATAAAGGTCTAATAATTGTCATTTTCCTTCATCCTTTGGTTTCCTGAATCCCCCTTGTGTTTTGTAGGAATTCACTGTATTGCTATCAGTGTGAGCTCAGCACTTACCCTGTACAGTACTGACCACTTGTCGAAGTGCAGGGCTTTGCACAGTACTGCACTGCCAGAGTAGAACGGACTGAAGTTGTTCTTTTGAAATGACAATCAAGTTTGAAGTGGTGATGCATCATCAGTCTTCACCTTGTGTTGCACAGCCTGGGGGCTTTCTTGCATTTTTTTCCTTTGATATAATGACTGCTGCTAGTATGCCAGAGAGCTGCTAAATGAAAACCATTCTCTGACCTGGAGAGCCCCCTGTACCACATAATACCTGTTTTGCTTTGTATTTTGATATATGTTTTTCTTTGTGAGCTGTAGTTCTGCTTTGTAACCAGACAAGCTCATTGAGCAGAGTCCTGCCTAGTTTGCTTTGCAGCACCGTGCTGTGGCTTCAGCTCTTTCTGAACATATACAAGGGTGATCCCATCTCTCGTGTGGGATCCTTCCCATTAATGAATGGTCCAGTTTCAGCTCATTTGTTCCTTGAGCATTAGTCGGAGAGACAGAGATGGAAACTTTGTTTTTACTCAACAGTGAACTACTGCCAGAAAGACCAGACCTCAAAGTGTTGTGTCATTGTGAACCAGTAATGTACTGATATGGCCATTTAGGAACAGGCTTTGTGTCCTGTGACATTGGTTTATGGCAAGTCAAATTCAGACTAATGTCTGTTGTCCTTGCTCATTAAATAAAAGTTTTAGTAGATATGCTTGTCCTGTTCTCTGATATTGGAAATGAACAGTAATAGATGCTGAAGACAGTACAGTTGTGCAGCAAGACGTGAGTAATTGTAAAGCATTTACAGTAAAAACTACTTGGCCATAAAAATAATAGTTGTCCTTAAAAATATTTGATGATATTCCAACAGATGAGTATGTTCTAAGGCTGCTGAGTTACTGAGGTGATGCTCTTGAATGCTTGGCTGCTGGTATCTCAGTTGTTTTGGGCGAATGGTCACATTGTGCTGCTGGTCTGCAAAGCTTCACGTCAGAGCAGAGCTGCTGCTGAGCTGGCATATGTGCTGCCAGCAGAGGAGCTTTTGCTGAAAACAATGAGAATAGAGGTATAAAGGTAGCTCAATTCTTGTGGTGGGATGCCTGTCTTTTAAAGGAAAAAGCTTTTGTTCCCAGTTTTATTCTTGTTTCCTGCACCTTGTCATTTTAATGCATTCTTGCATTTGTGCACGGAGATGCTCATGGCTCGCCCCACAGAGCACCCTGTTCTCTCCCTTGCTGGTGTTTTCACCCACACGTTCTCAGGAACATCTTTGATTTCCTGGATGAATTTCTGAAACCACAGAAAAATTTCTTTCTTTTCTTTTCATCACAGGCTTCACCTGTGATGGGATTGTTCTGCCAAGATCTGTAGGCAGAAGGCTGGGAAAAGCAGCTATCTGCAAACTGCCCTCTGCTTCAGTGTTAAGGGCACAGCAGGATGTTAAGGGGCATCATCTGTTGGTCTGATGAGACCTTTGTGTCTTGGCTGTCTTCAGTCCTGTAGTATTTGCTGCCTCTTTTTTGCTTTTAAGAAACATTGTATTTTGCAGATGTTTGGGGGGAAAGTGGGGGTTTGGGGCCATTCTTAATACATCGCTGGTTGTTTTTTTTCTGCACTGCTAATGAACCCTGTGGAGAATGCTCTCTAAATTGAGGGGATGGGGAAGCACCTGCATCCTGTCCTGTAGGTTTCAAAGCAGGATTTCTGCAGGAGCAGTACTACGGCATTTCATGTGATTCCCCTACTGCTGGAGTTGGAAGGTAGTACTATGTTGCTTTTCCTTAAAAAAGAAGATATGGTTTAACTTGTAGTTTAACTTGAAGATAGCTTTAACTTGTTTAACTTCCACAGTAGGAAGGGTTACTGAATGCAGTCTGTTGTTACAGTTAGAGAGGGTTTTATCAAATGCAGCCTACTGTGAGCATGGAAAGAGAGTGTTCTGAAGGTTGTTGGCCTATGCTTCTTTGTAATTTTGCTGCTGATGGAAGGTCAGTGTTGTACAACTAGGAATTGTGTGAGTGCAGTGTTCTTTATCTCTGGATGTGCTTAGTATGAAAACTGATCAGTATTTTTAACCTTTAACTCTCTCAAGAAGGATTTTGGGGCCTTGTATGGTGTTGCAGACTGCCCTGGTTTGTTCTGACTGGTCAGCTTGTCCTGAATAGTGATTCCTTTTGGCTTCTTAATGGAGAAAAAAAGATTAAAGAATTCAAGTCTGAAATTATCATCTTGGTAGGTGTTCTCTGCAGCCTGGGTTACTGTGACTTCAGTACATAAAGAGAAAGGAATATGTTTTTCTTAAAATGTTCTCATCTTCACCACAAGAATATATCAGTAGCTGGCACTTGGCAGTGAGACAGGCATCTCTCAGGAGGTAAGGAAGTTGTAGCAGACCTTTTGAAACCTTTGATATCCCTTTAAGCTACTTCTTTGATCCTTTTGCTGTCTCAAGTGTTGCAAAACATTACAGCAGGTACAGATCAGTACATGTAATGCTTTTTGCATTATCTTTGCTTTAAAGAGTGTGTATTTGTATGACTCTATTCTCTACATCTTCAAGTGGGGTATAGGATGGGGACATGTTTATTTAGAGACCCCAGGAAATGTGGGCATGGCTTCAGGTCCTCTGTCTGCATTGTGACTTGTAAGGTGTTCTATATGATGATTGTGAGGAAATAGAATTGGTAATTAATGTTTGCTACATATTTGTCCTATTGATCTATTGCTATCTCTAATCAAAATGAACAGCCCAAATTCGTATTACAGTTTGCGTACAGCAACCCTCCACTTCCATTGCAGCTCAAAGGTTCCAAATTAGTTCAATACCTTACGTAACTGGACAGTCCTTTCTGGGTTGTGACTTCTGTTTTATTCATGTTTCTAGGGATTTTCTTCCACGAGGTTCTGGGATTGTAACAAGACGACCATTGGTGTTGCAGCTTGTCACTGCCAAAACAGGTAACCTCTCTTTCTTCTGAGTTCGCTGCCTGGACAAAATGCTGTTGAGTACTTTGGCGGGAGGAAATTAAAAATCCAGGAAAATTAATCAATGCAAAGAAAGGTGCAACTGCACTGCCTGGAACAAGGGCCAGCTGCTTCAGAATTGCATGCTCAAGGCCACCTAAGCTCATTGTCCTGTCTGGTAAAATAATGCAACCTCAATCCTAGAGAACATAGTCAATTTGATCCAAGATCAAACTTGTGGCAGAGGAGAAAAGAGTTATTACAAGCAAATTGATTCACAAGTTAATTTTGATGTTGCGTTGCTTAATGAGCTCTGCAGTTGTATTAGTTATAACACATCAAGATTAAGGTACTTCTGTCTTCAACCCTTGCTCCAGTGCACATGGATTTGGTTTCATGCAGCTTGTTTTCATGACTTGTCTTTTTAGGTTGCACTCACTGCACTAAGTAGAGCAGAAGGTAGACTTTGTGAGAATGAGGCTCCTGTGTATTTGTCTGGTCAAAAATGAAAATACTGCATGTATACCACTGAGCTATGTGAGATATTGGGACCTTTCATCAGAACTCACCACTTGGGACTCTTCCAAGTGACGTGGCATCTGCTGTCAAGTAGCTCCATTCTCTGGCATGTTTAAAACCTGTTTCCTGTTTTTCTCTCTCTCTCTTTTTTTTTTTTTTTTTTTCCATGCTAAACAACATAAGCAATAAAATCACTGGTTTTCTGTTGACATCTTCTGAGACGAGTGAAAAGAGATTACATCCAAAGTAGGATTTAAGAAGAAATTCTCTTTAAATTGTGATACACTGTGAAGCTGGGGAAGAAACAAAGTTGAAACTGTCTGCAGGACTTGAGTCTGTCTCTATGTGTGAGATGTCATTTTAAGTTTTTGGGTGCATTTTTTCTCTAAAATGTCCCTGTGTCATTCAGCAGGAAGGTAGGCTTCAGTCTGCCTGCACTCTAAATTTTTCTCTGGCTTACTGCTTGTAAAACACGTTCAATATTTCAATACATTTAAGAAATTTTCTTTAATTATATACTATGAAAGTGAACGGAAAGATTGTAGAATCTAGTATTTCTGTATGCCCAACTTATACCTCAGGGATTTAAAGTATGTAATGTGTACTTGTAGTGTTTTATACGTAGTAGAAGATCAAGTTCATTTAGGTTAGAAGCATGAAGACTTGTCAAATCTGCACGCCTGGCTTCAGAGCCCTGATAAAAATGCTGAAACATGAATAAGGACCAAATGTGAAAAATCATGATGTAATTTTCCCAGCACCATGTAGGAGCAGAAGAAAGAAAAGAATCAAGCTCTGTGCTGGCATTCCTAACAGAATGACTGAACTGTGGGGGCATAAGAAAAAAAGGAAGCAAACTCTTACACTGTAAGGTGGTTAAATCTTCCTTGACATCCATCCTAAATGCACCCTGCCTGATCTCTATTGCCTTGTTTTGTAAAATCATTGTTTTCTCTCTGGTTAAGGTCAATGAAAGGATTTCTCTCTCTTCCTGATATTTTCCCCATTAATATATTCATGTAATGTTTCCAGCCTTAGCTGCATCTACAGCTTTGTCTGAATGCCTGCTCTGCTGTGAAGTAGTTTTTCCATTACCGCTTAAAAACAACAACAATTCTGAAGCAATAAGCTTCTGCCTCACGTATTGTTTCCTAGCTGCTAGGACATATTTATCCCTTTGGGAAATGCTGTGTATTTCTTGTTTGGGACCAGATGTCAGCACCTTTGAATACGCGGGCTTTGATTATTTTGTTACTTGCTTTAAACTGTGTTTCATTATTTGATTTTGGTGGTTTTGGTGGGGAATTTTAAAAAGAAAAAGGTATTTGGAGCTGCTTTAATCTTTCAGAACTGATTTAAAAGAGAAAATAAACTACTCAGAGAAGCACAGTGTTCTCTCACAGGAAGCAGATGCTGGGCTGATTTTTATCAAGTTTGTAATTATTGTCTAAGCTGTTACAGAAAGTAGTTAGAGGATATTATCAGGTTTCTGCTACTGTAGCAAGCTTAACTGCTTTCTAATCCTAGAACCTTTCTCACCTCTTAAAAATAGCTATTCTTAACCTTGTAATATTCTAGGGAGGGGAACGGAACACTTTCTATATACTACATGCTATAACATATAAGCATGCAGAGTTGACTGCAGGGTATTTTAGAAGTGTTTTCAACTGTCTGAAGATCTTTTTGAAAGATGAATTGGGCTGATGGTTAAGGTTGAGGTTAAGGCTTCCTCTGGCTTTCAGTTGCGGCTCTAAGGGTTGAAGGTTGCCAGCTGAGGCATTTGTGCACGCTCGAATAAGGGGGAACTTTGGGTGCTCACTCTTAGGCTTGGAGACATCATGGAAGGGTACAGAAGGGTTTGGCTGAGAGACATTGCTAGGGATCTCCAACATCTGAAAGGGTCTGGTATGTCTGGGTAAAGAGCTGGTGTCTTTGGGCCTTAAAGTGAGAATATGCAAGCGGTAACGTGAGACAACCCAGTACTAAGAAACGTATCTCATATGAGACAGTGCTTTAGGAGTTTGTCTGTGTCTTTTCAGAAATTTCCGTGTAATTAGTGCAAAGCTATTTTGCTGTGATCTGTTGACTTCCTCTAATCACAGTAACATTTTTTGCTACATGTGGCTTTGTGCCATTTGCATTTCCATATCCATGCAAGCACTGTACTCTGCTGAAATCTTGGAGGCAAAGACTGGTTTTAATTATCACAGCTGACATGACAGCCGTGAGTAGTTGTGCTTGTTTTCCTTTGACTCTGATAATGAGAGAAGTATCTGGTACCATGGAATAAATCATAGCATGGATGTTAAAAATGACTATATAGTACTGCAAACGACTCTCTTGTTCTTCTCTGTACTACTTGGGGCTCTTCTTGAGTCCGCTTGAATTTCTTCTTGGAACTGCCCAGCTGCATTACAGATGAAACAGTAAATGTGTTCTGCATTCAATAATGCACCAGCTACACCAGCTGCACCAGCTACAGGAGAAGAAAAAGATCTCCATCCTGTTAGTATTTGAGTCTCCAAGGTGGTTCTCTTCTGGTAGTCAGAATTTGGTACTCGTTGCTTGTCCTAAAGCCGTTCATCCGCGGTCCTGAAGGTGGGATCACACTGCCATATGCTTAGTTTTCATCTCATATTTATAATTCTCTTGTATCCCTACTGTTGAAGAAAGATGGCGTATATGAGGTTTTTCTGAAATTGAGCCAAACAGCATGAAGTCATTGTTCTGTAATAAACAAATACTGCTAATGCAGCTTTGTTTGCCACATAGAAATCACAACTGAGAGCTCCCATCTTACACTGAGCGTGCGGAACGATCCAGATGCAGCTTGATGGTGTGCGGTCACTGCACTCAACCCTGAGCAGTTATGCAGCATTGGGAATCTTCAGTGCCAGGTGAACCAGGACTCTTGCTCCCAGGTGCTTTGCTGCTAGGCTTTGAAGGAACTCAGAGTAGAGAATATAGGAGAAAACAGTCCCACTGGAGAGGACCCACTTCAGTGAGTTTTTAGAATGCAGAGATGTGGTGCTGTTAGCTGGCAGCTGCTCTGCTGGTGAGCTTTGGGTTTTTGCAGGGCAAACAAGACAATTGTGCTAAATGAGCCCAGGCATTCAGATGCTGTTTGTGGGAGTGACTCCATCTCCCTTCTCCTGGGTGAGAAGTTGGATATGAGGGCAGTTGACTTTGTGAGTCTGATATCCAAACCAGACAAAAGATGTGCTGGCTCTTCAAGCACTTGACTGCTGCTTCATAAGAAACAGGAAGCTCATTTGATCTGACCAGAAAGCATTTGGTTTAAATACTAAACAGTTGTGGTGTTTCAGCAGTTACCAGTGTATGTATGTATGTATGAGTGCTGCTCTCATCCTCCCTTACTTGTGATTCCTCTTCAGGAGGAAGGATGCCACTACAGACTCCTATAGTTGTGCTCCTGGAAGTATTTCTCTGTGTGTATCTTTAGGATGTAAGTGTTAACACACAGTATGAGCTGGGACAGGAGCTATAAGGGCTGTGTTAGTGTTCAGTCGTCTAGGAGAAGTATAACTGAAGTCTGTATCAGGTACCTTGCTTTCATTTCAACTCTTCTGTCTGCAAACTTTACTGATAAGCATGCTAACTTACAGTGATTTGTTCTCTGTTGCCAGCATTCCTTAAGGGAAGGCTTAAGATTTTCTTCCATTCGCTTGGTGTGCCTTCATTTATGCATTAAAACCTATTTTGTAAACATAATTTTATTGCAGCATCCCTATGACTTTAGGCAATCTGTTCTTCTTTCTGATATGTTTTCTCCTGCTTGTGATGGTGAAGTAATTATCTAGGTTCCTGGAGACTGGCTACTGTGCTTTTTAAACAGTAATAACAGCTAAAAGATGTTCTCTGGTTTTGGGTGAGGCTATTGCTGTAGGTCTTACATTTGTTAGAAATGCTTTGCTCTCTGTGTGAATTGGCTGTTTAAATGTTAAAATACTGTGCTACTAGGAGGGTTGTTTTCCTCATTTTGATAACTGTTTTTTGAGGAGCTTTGAATTTCTTTCATGGTCAGTCCTTTGATTTCTCTGCTAAAGAAAAATGTCAGGCTAACAGATTTTGAGAAGTGTTACTGAGCTGGACGTTTTTAGATGAACGCTCCACATGTACAGTGCCCACATTTGTTTCAGTTCTGCCAATTAGAACATTAAGTGGAATGTAAATCACCGTAGGGTTCAAAAATGTTGTGGATTTTTTCTCAAATCTTGCAGATGCTCTTTCCTTTTGAAGTTGCTGAGCTTTAATGCAAGTGCCCTTGCATTAAAGTGTTACGAGGCTTCATTCCTTAGGCACATCCATCTTTTATTGCCATCTGGTGGCAAAAAACATCCATAGGAGAAAATGAAAAAAATTGTTAAAAGAACGTAGGCTGCTTAATTCACTTAATACAAATGATCTCACAGATTTCCTCAGCAGGAATGGGGCCGTGAAAGACCCGCCATCCAAACAAGGCTAATAAGCTCTAAGAAGGAGAGTGCCGTTAGTGCGAGGCTGCAGGCCTCCTCTGCCTCTCTGACTGGTGTGTGTGTCTGTCTGTCTGTCTGCAGTAACCAGAGTAGATCTGCAGTAGCATTCACGTTTGATCACTGACAGAACACAAACCACTGATGTCATGCTCTTGTAAAACAGAGAAGTAAATGTTGTGCAAGGTACATTAACAGCAATACAGTCTTAAAAACGAGTTGCATAGAAAGCATAAGCTCTAGAGCAAGGTTGAAAGAACAGAGATGTCTCTCTTGTTTCCTAGAAGCAAAAATTGTCAAGGATGCACCAGACTATTTCAGTGAATAGCATACTTACTTTTCCTCCCCCTATATGAGTGTTTACCATTATAATTAAAGCATTTAATTGGTTCCTAAGTCTATAACCTGGTATTTTATGCTGGTCAAATCTATGCTGTTCCCAATGTTTTTAAGCTCTTTGGCTATGATATTCTTGTCATTCTGTGCATTAACAGGAATACCACTTCAGAAAACTCTTGTACTTCTTGTAGACTTGCTGTTTGAAGGTTAGCAGGGAAGACCTGAATTTTATCTTCATCATGTCAACAAAGCTAGAGCAACGGAGAATTAAAAGGAATTGTAGATTGGATGAGACAACAAGGGTTTTTGATACTGCGTCTCTCTCTCCTATTAAAAAATATTGAACGATTTGTTAAAGTCTAAATGGATCAACTGCATTTATTTTGTTCAGAAAAAGCTGGTCCATCATCAAAGAAAAGGTGATGGGCTTTAACTTGTGAAGTCTGGTTCTGTGTTTTTAAATCACTCCTTTGAAAGCGCCCTGAGGCTGGTGGACTGTTAGCTGAAGCTAGCAGAAATGTCATTTTTGGGTGAGATTTTCTCCTTAAAGGATTTGGAAGATAGAAACTATGGCCACAGAAGGTATTCCCCCTTACAAGGTGTATTTAGAACATTTGCTGTAGACCTCTGATTTCCTGCGACATCTTTCTTTGAAAACTCCAAGCTGGAGTGTTAGCTCCTCTGAGATACCATGGGAATAATTCTTGCTGAAATCAGACCTGGAGGAACTGAATTTCTGTCTCGTCTCACTGGTAAATTCCTGAGCTCTAAGAGGTTGTTCTGTTAGGGTAACCTTTTAGGGCTTTATTAGACTGTGAGGGGTTGTGGGTTCAGACCGATGCACATCAGGGGCGTTTTCCAGAAACCTATAATGTATTTCTAAGACCTGTTTCTTATCTTGTCACATGGCTTACCTAACTTGGCTTTCTTTAGCTGGCCTGTGGAAGAGCTCAGCACAGTGAGTGAGTGGTCTGGAAATAGCAATAGCTGTTTGTTGTTTGTAACAGTGCATTGCTGTGCTGGATGAACTCATAGAAGTCCTTGGGGAAGTAACATACAGGAAAAATGAGAAGCATTCTGCAAAATATTATCCCATAACACCCGTTTGCACATCTTGTCCAAATGAATCAAAATTGAAGAGAAATGATAACCTGTCGTGACACTTGTAGCTGGATGCCATAGAGAGCTATGTGATGGTAGCTTCTTTGTTCCATATTATCCAAACTGCTTTAAATGATACTGTTTATTTAAAGATAATTTTGAAAAGTATGATACATGTGAAGATGATGGTTGTTTCTTTTTCTTATTCCTTCTCTTGATGTAACTCCAGCTTTATACAGAAAACACATCACTGAACACTGAGTGTCAGGCAGGATCATGCCTTCTGTCCAACTCTGTGTCTGTTCCCACAAGAAGTTTAAGTGTTAATGTGTTCCTCTGCGTGTGAAGGTTGAAAACTGAGGCTTGCATTAAAGCGTGTGTTCATCCAGGCTGAGGGCATCACTGCCAAGGACAGGCGAGGGGCTGAGAGGGCCGGAACAAAGCACTGCTTGTTCATTTGGATTTTTATTCTGTAGGCTGTGCAGCACCACAGGTTATGCGCAGTTGTAAAGCCTCTTCCTTCAGAACTAATGGGACTGCAGATGGCTCTGAGGGGAACGAGAAAGAGAGAAATATTAACATAGCTAAAAGGTAGTCAGCTTTTTCACTTGGATTACCTTGAAGCCATTTCAGACTGGGACTTGTCCTGTTATTAAATGTCATGTGGAAGAAAGAGAAAGGCTTTTTTGAGCTGAGCCAGCCATCTGATTGTAGCTAAGCACAAAGTTTTTGGTTCAATTTTGAAATCTTTTGCTGAGAAATTATGATGAGCCACCAGTTTAAAAACTGTAGATGGGAAGAATGCAGTTTGCTTTATCCCAGGAGCACTGAGACAAAATAGGAACCACTTGTCAGCTCTTATTTTCAGTAGGTACCTATTTCCCATCTTTGCAATAACAAGTGTTACAAGTGTAATGTCTTCTCTTTCACTTTGCAGTATCTGAATATTCCTTGTTGGTTGTTATTTTATTTTTTTTTAATAAATAGTTGAATATTAAGTATACAGAAAAACATTGATTGTCATTATCCTATGCTCTGGTGTTCTTAAGTTGTGAAAAGTAAGATGAAGTGCCCTCTTATTTTTAGGATGAGATGCATTGTTTTTGTCTCAGCAAGGATGGGTTTCCCTGTCCCTCACACTTTGAATCCCAGGGAGTTTATGGCAGTGTGGGGCAGTGAGGTGATGTTTGCTGTTTGCCCACTTCTTACTGTTTTTGGCTTTTGGTTTGCTTTTACTACTGTTATGGTTTGACATCTAGTTTTGACTATTTCATTTTTTTAACAACGCGGTCAGCAACGGTAGTAAAATGACATAAGGGAAACCTGCGGGACGGACTTAGTTCTGACAGATAAGGCCATCTATCCATTTGCACTCTCTGATCTGCTCAAACAGCAGCAGCTCAAGCAATTTCCTGGTGTTCAAGGCATTTCTATCAGAAATGTTTCCTGCAGAAGAAGTACCAAAATTGAACTGTGAGATCAGGCTTTGACTGCAGAGCAAAACCGACTTGAACTTGCAGTCTTTTGTCCAACCTTTCTCCATCCTACTGCTTAGACCCTGTAGGAACAGGATGTGAGCTCATATCTGTCCTCATTAGTGTTTGTCACAGCTTTCAGCAACTTCTATGTTTATCCTCTTTTGAAGGATGAAACTCCACTTTTAAAATCCTGAGGTGTGCCTTTGGCTGTACACCATGAGGGCAGGAAATCCTGAGGAATCCAAAGAGTAGAAGCAGTGTTCGGATGCAAGTGTGAAAACAGGGACCTAGTGTCATGTTGGAGTCAATGTCTGATAGCAAAACAGTTCCTAGTTGATACCCTTGTAGGCTAAGAGGACAAGCTGATGATGAGTGGAGTTTTGCCACTTCAGTGAAATCACAGCTACACCTGTAGAAGCTTTTACAAACTGTTAAAGCATGGTTTGGGTTTAGACTATGGGAAGTCTTTAGTGAGGAGTTGTATTTGAAAACACTGAAGTGTTTTAAGTGCTCTTATTTTCATTATCAACTTGTAAAAATGTAGAAAACTCCCTTGCTAAGATCATCTGAAACAAGTGCTGTTAGTTTTTGAAAACAAATGGCTATCTTTTGTGATATGGAACTTGAATAACTTTTCTTCAGTTCAGTGATGTATTATGAGCAAAAATAATTGCATGAAAAGTCAGAATCTGAGTTCAAACCAGTTCTTTACTCTGTAGACGTGTATGGTATTTATCTGAATCTTTCAGGTTGTTTCGAAAGATGAAATGCTAATGATAAAAGCAGTAAATCATATTCAGTCAACCTGACTTCTTTAACAAACTCTTTCACCTGTGCCATCGTATTAACTGCATGTGCTCATATGGAATGTTTTCTTGATAGACGTGATGACGTGCTTTTGTGTATCCTCATGTGAAGAGTGCCTAGGGGCTTGAAAATAGTGAAGCCTGTTGTGAACTTGTGAAATACAGACATGCTATTGATATTCTTCACAGAGTATGCTGAATTTCTACACTGCAAAGGAAGAAAGTTTACAGATTTTGATGAAGTTCGTCAGGAAATTGAAGTAGAAACAGATAGAATAACAGGAGTGAACAAAGGGATTTCTTCAATTCCTATTAATTTAAGAATATATTCTCCACATGGTAAGTGAGATCATTCAACTGTATATTCCTGTGATGTAATATATTACTGAGCTCTGTCTGTTTATTGATTAGCAGTCTTCTGAGATGCAAAGATTTCCACCAGAAGTGGATATACCTGTGTAAGGAAATTCAGCATCTGCTGCATTATGAAACCACTCTACTGCAGAGAGCTGTTACTTCTAGAGTTGGGCAGAACATGGACTCTATCCCATTTAATCTTCTCATGATTTTAAAATATTCCCCCTCTACATCAGGGAGAAGCCAATCCTTCCTGCAGCACATATACTATTAGGAGCTCACCAGTAAACTCTTTGGTAAAGAGACATAGGAGGTAGCAGATGAAGTGGAAAAACCCCTCTTGCCTCCACTCATATGGATTTCTTAGATCAATGATCTAGAAAGTCATTATATCTCTTTGTCCTATTGGATGTTTCTTATTCCTTGTCACTAAGAACATACTTGGACAATGCTGATGTTTGAAGCTGCATTATGTTATAGATCCCCAGTATAGATGAAAGTTCTGTTCTCTGGTTGCCATCTGCTCTATTTAACGAAGGCAATCTAGAGGAAATGTTTTGCATTGAGTTCAGTCTGCATGTAGGGGAAAAGTGGTGTGCCTGGATCAGGCATTTATCTAACCACCTCATCTGATGCCTTGATTGTGAATCAAAGGACATAAGGATTAAAATAAGAGGAGAGGTAATTAAAGAGATGCTGGTCCTCCCTTTGATATGCCTTGGCTCTAAGTGTGTGCTCCTGAGCCCTGTTGCTGCTATGCAGATGTGGCACAGCAAACAGGAGAGTGACTGAACTAAATGCTCTGCCTCACAGCAAGCTTCCTGAACGTGCTGACACCAGGAGAATGTGAAAATTTTCTACCTGATGCTCTTAATTTGTTTTATGGATCAGTCTTTTAGTGTAGCAACTATTTTCTGTATTGGACAGGCACCAAATGTATTTCCTTTCTAGGAATCCTAATTTTCTCCTTTGTCTGAAGGATATTCTGTTGCAGTAGTAGTTGAACAAGCTGATGCTTCTAGGTGGTCTGTGGATTGAAGTATGAAATATGAATGGCCTGTTAACTGTGCTACAGCTGATGGAAAAAGCTCAGAAAGTCATATTCATTTGCCTAAGAGACTTCAGTGATATTCCATATAAGTATCATTTGCCTACACCAGTTGTAATGTTTAAAATATTGAGTAATACTCTTAAATCCAAATGAAGGAGAAATAGGGAAGCAACTACAGTAACAAATACACTTTTCAGACTCTCAGGTGTTTTATTTGAACCACTGATAACTGCTTTTGGAGGAATATAAGCTTTGTATAAGATTTTATGTGACTAAAATCTGTCTACAGCCATACCTGTATAGATCTCTTTAGATGTGTCTGGCACGCTAACCAGTGTTGTGGTTCTGTGTTCTCCATGCAGTACTAAGCCTGACTCTTATTGACTTGCCGGGAATCACTAAAGTGCCAGTAGGAGATCAGCCTCCAGATATTGAGCAGCAGATAAGAGACATGATAATGCAGTTCATCTCTCGAGAAAACTGTTTGATATTGGCCGTGACTCCAGCTAACACAGATCTGGCCAACTCAGATGCTCTGAAGTTAGCTAAAGAAGTAGACCCTCAAGGTAAGCATGATTAAAAGTAGCCACTGAGCCTTGTTAAACAAATTTGAGGAATACATTTCAGCACTGCCAGTGATGATCTCTTCATTTCCAATCATGCCCTTACTTGCAACTGTGGAGGTTGTTGTGTGATAAATCTTTGAGATGATTACATTTTCAATAATCACTATGGAACTGTAGGACATAATTTGTTTTTTTTTTCCAAATAAATGATTTTTTCACTGTTGTTTTTTTTCCCATCTCTGACTTGATTAGGCCTTAGAACCATTGGTGTGATCACAAAATTGGATCTGATGGATGAAGGAACAGATGCAAGAGACGTTCTAGAAAATAAACTACTTCCTCTTCGTAGAGGTAAAAATGTTCAATTGCCTCTGTTCTTTGGTTTTGGTAACAGCAGTGTTTGAGAGTTCTGGAGATGAATGAAGGGTTATCCTGAACCTGATGTGTTCCTAGCTTTTATTATATTCCATTCAGCAAACACAGAAAGGGGATGTGCTAAAAATATCCTGTAAGTAAAATAATTTATCCTGGACCTGGAAAATATGCTGCTTATTCCCGAGGAAACAAGAAATGTCAGCATTATTTATTAGCCAGTTTTCTTTTTCTGTGTCAGGTTGCTGTCTCTTTCAACAAAAGAGTCTTTTTTCTTACGTATGACAGAAGCCAGCACCAGCGCTTCGGTAATCTTGCTGTTAACCTGGTTTTGACCTCTTGTGGAAGTTTTCTATTTGATTGTTCCAACAGCTACTGGTACAGTCACTTTCACTGTTAACAGTATCAATAATTTCGTTTCTAGTTATACTTGGCTTATGACACCACCATCTCCTTTCAGTATATGAGCACAGCAAAGAAGTTGTGAACGTATTCCTCCAGCAGACATGAAGAAATTACTCATTTTTCCTGTGTTTTCTTAGTGCTGTATTGTTTACTTATCCAGACTTGTTGGGTCTTCTTTTTGTTGTTCTTTTTTGTTACTTTGATTTTGTTTTTATTTGAAGTGACTTCTTTGGAGTGCACTGAAGTTTCCTATATTTGTACGCTTGAATTAGTAATGTAAAAAGAAGTGCAACTATTTCACATAAACAGAATGAACAAATTGGATGTTAAGTTCACTTACAGTGCTTGTAAATGATGTCTGAAATACCTGAATTGGAACTCTTGTTTGAATTGAGGCAACATAGTTCAATTTAATATGAATCCAGTTGTGCAGAGAATACCTGCATTAACATGCCCATTGGGCTGGGATTGTTTCAGGTTATATTGGTGTTGTGAACAGAAGCCAAAAGGATATTGATGGGAAGAAGGACATAAAGGCAGCTCTTCTAGCAGAAAGGAAATTCTTTCTTTCCCACCCAGCATACAGGCACATGGCAGATCGGATGGGAACGCCGTATCTTCAGAAAGTTCTAAACCAGGTAAAACCTGAGTTCTTTGTGGAGACAGCTGTGAGACAGCTTTGATATAAAATCTTCACTAAAATGAACCTTATTTATTCTTTTCTGCCTTTTAATTTTTACAGTGTAATTAACAAAGTAGCATGTTAAAAATAACAGAAATGTACTGTGGGATATAGGGAACCTAATTTGTAGGCACTTGTCAGTATTCATAAACCTACAATAATTAAGATTGCTAATTGCAGAAATTTCCATCGTTGATAACATAATATTCAATCTTGATTTTTGTTCCAAGAAAATCATGATTTTATTTTTTATTTCTTACTCAAAAACTTACTCAGATTGGTACCTCATGCATCCAGACACAAGCTAATAATGGTGCTCTTTGACTATGCAGTTTTCCAACTTCGGGAATTCTGTAATATTTTATTCCACTTTATTAGTTTGTAATAATCTAGAGTAGCTTCTCTTAGCTCTGTCTGTATTACTTAAAGTTGCAGTTTAAGCTGTAATATTAATTACAGATGCAGTAAAATAATATGCACATACCCCCAAAATCCTTATGAAGATACTGGGGGGGTACAGAGCCATTCAATGGACTTCTTTTTTTTCCTCTGGGGCCGTGCACAGCAGCACATAGTTGTAACCTACAGTCTTCTTTCAAGCTGGCCTGTGTACTGTGTGGGTGAACAGAGTAACTCTGAGGGAGACTGTGTAGAAGCAAGCTGGTTTTGGCCATTAAAAAGTACAAGATGTTCTCTGCTGCCTTGGGGAGGACTTGGCATTCCTTGCAAAAATTCTTTTGCTCCAGCAAAGCAGAATTGTGTGCACTCAATCTACAAAACTGGAAGTGTAGTCACAAGAGATGGAAAACAAGGGTGACAATTCTAAGTAACCTTGGAGCACTGGGATCCTAACATCTTCCAATATCAGGGTACTCTTATATCTTCTCCCTACCGCTTTTCATGCTCAGGATAAATTCCCTCTTACTTAGATGTGTGCAGAACTTTTGTTGTTTTTAATTTACCTGATAATAATGCTGTTTATGACTTGTACTAACAGTTCTGCACTTCCCTATTCTCTTGAATACTGAATATGAATGTACAAAAAGTAAAATTCTCTCTTCCTGGGTGTTTCTCCAAGTACACTATTTTGTAATTATCACATTTCTTCTAGTGTAACACAACTCTTAGAAATCGATTCTGGAAATCTGTGGGGGGAAGAGGGGAGGAGAGAGATGTTTTGAGATGTGACGTGTCCTGAAGGTTCCCTGCATATGTGTACTTTAACCTGAAAATCTATGCTTTGATGTAGTTTTTAGTAGAAACACATACAGTACACTAATGATATAAATGACAAACACAGGAGGACTTGGTTCACACTGCCTTTAGTTTTGCCCAAACCTTTGGTCTGTTTCTAAGTGTTCATGCCCAAACTCATCAGATTGCAGCTTTCTTCAGCAGGAAATAGGGGTCTTCTTCCCAGATACCTGGAGAAGAAACTTGTAGCTTACTGTCCTAGTCAATATGCTGCCTGCTGCACAATTGCAGAAATATGTAATTCTTGTCACCACTGTGTCCATTGATAATGCCAGCCTTAGCTTGAATCGTATGTGACCCTGATGATAATGAGTCTCAACAAATTCAAAAAGGGCAAGACCAAACCCTGCCTGTCCCCCTAAATTTACTGATGATGCTATGATTTATTTATTTTTTTAAAATTTCATTGATATTATTACTGTTACTTAGAAACTAAGTTTTATCAGCCAACCAGTGCTTTTGACATTCCTAAAATCTGGAGTTGATAGTATTTTCTCCAGTTCATTGCTGAATTGCTGCTGTAGGTTTGGAATAGACTGAGGCTGGGTCAGCCTGGCTTTGTCCATTTTGGATAGCAGCTGGAAACAGCACAGGGCATATTGGATAAGTAGACTACATGGTTGGCCTGCTAATTTCTTGCTGCTCTGACTTTGCAGCTGTGTATCTTTACAACCAGGTTAAGGTATACTCTGGGCTTGTTCAGAAAGAATGCAAATGCTATTTATTTGTGCCTTAGAAAAACATTCTTCAACAGAATGCAAGAACTTGCTTGTATCCTACAGGTTTGTGTGTGTTTGGGATGTTTTGTCTGTTTAAATGCATTGAAAGATGAATACCTTATGTCTTAGTTTTGAAACTAAACCAACTGAGTTTCATATTCCTTGAAACTGTCTTATATGTCGTTGAGTTTATATACTAGTAACATTTTTGACCTTCTTTTCCTTTTAGTTTATCTATTTCAGTATGAATTGTTGGTCTTCTGTTGCTATTACTGTATGTAGAATATTACATGAGGGGATGTATGCAGGAATTGTCCCCAGGTTATTAATGCATGAGTGTTTGTGGTTCCGGGTAGTATTTAAATTATTCTGCGTCCACAAGGTGGTGCTCCAGGGAAACTCCAGCGTTTGGTAATGTGCCTTTCAGGCCTTCTGAACAACTTTGGGGCTCAGTTTTCCTACTTTGGTATTTGACATTCTTTATTTATCATTGTGTGACTGGGAAGGTATAGTGAAAAAAGTCCATTTTAGTTTAAATCAAGGAATGGATACAATGCATGAGAGGCTCATTGGACAGTTGACAGTATTGTCCGTACACATTACAACATATATGGGCAGAAGTAACTGAGATAAGAGCTTTTCTAAGACTTTTTCTACTCCAGTTTATTTTCCAGTATTTTTAGGTATATTTTCATGAATGAAAGCCAACATTCTTCAGTGATAATGCTTTATATCAAGATTTTTAAAAAATACATATTTTTAAGGAAGTTAAGTGCTGTAAGAGGGCTAAATGTCTTCTCTTTAGTGTTCTGCATACAACGAAGTAGCAGTGTTGTGAAAGTCAGTTTTGTGAGTAGTGAAAGAGAGAGTGCTAAGTAGATACTCTGTATGCCTATACTGCCTTCTGTCACTGTTCTCAAGTGGTTTTGGATGCTCAGAACCAGCGAAATGGATGTTGGCAACAAAATGCTGAGTTATTGTGAGAGTCCATTTCAAATTAAAATAACTTCTTAGCATGTAGCTAAATAACTATGTCATATCAGGCCATACTGAGTGAAAAAGTCAAGAAGTTTTTCAAGCCTCCATATAACGTGTACATGAAAGGGATGTTGTGGTGTTCTTGAACTGTCTCCATTGCTTCAAAGATCAAGAGGAATTACACTAGTAAGCTAGCACAGGCTACACTGATATGTTTGGCAGCCAGAAGGAAATAGCTATGCTCTTGCTTTCATCTTTAGTAACAGTATAAAAGGACTTCTATTTGCTTTTTAGCAACTTACCAATCATATTCGGGATACCCTGCCAGCCTTCAGGAGCAAACTTCAGAGCCAGCTGCTTTCTATAGAACATGAAGTAGAGGTATACAAAAACTTCAGACCAGAAGATCCAACCAGAAAAACAAAAGCCTTGTTGCAGTGAGTGTTGTCTTTTATCTGCTTTCCATTTGTCTATAGGTTTGGTTTGTTTTGTTTTGCTTGACTTTTTTTTTCCCCCATGTGTTTAAATGTTAGGATATGGAAAAAGATGCTTGATTCAAGCTCTGAAAAATATTGTGTTTGGTGTTCCAGAACACTTGAATATTTCAGCAAGGGTTTCCCTAAATTAGCATTAGCAATCATAGAAAGAGAAAAGGCAGAGCAGGAAAAGGTACGAAGATGACTAACATACATGATGTTAAGGTAAGAAACTGCTTTAGATTGCAGGACGCATTCTACAGCCTGTCAAAAAGATGCCCTCAAGCAAAGGGAGGAGGTTGTGTTAGAGTTCTGTAAGATGAGAAGCATAAAAGGAGAATAGGGAATGTTCGTTTTTGTTTTTTTTTTTTTAATAAGATATGAAAACTTGGCCATCCAAAAGAACTTGCAAATGGCAAAATCAAAATTAATGTTTGATGGTAGTCCTTCGTGTGGTATGCAGCAAAGTTACAGAGCTCCTTATGAAGGAGCTGATTCTAAAAGATGGTTTGTCTTCAGAAAGCAGTTAAGCATGTTCTTGTGGACAAGGAAAATATTCAAGTTTGGTGAGTACAAAGTCATATCTCTGTTGTTTTGGGACACATGAACAGCAACTGAGGCCAGTGCTGGAATTCAGAAAGGAAAATGGTCACCTGAACTATCAAGACTTCATTGATCCAGCCACAGACTTTGATTTACTCCTTGCTTTTTGTAACAACTGTGTCAAAAGAGTAGATGTAATTCTGTCCCTCATAACTTAAGATGTTTTGATTGAGAGGAAAACCTGGGAACAGAGCCTGGGACTCTTCTATGAGAGTACAACGTGGGTATTTTTATTTTTTTCAGTCTGTATATTTGGTCATTAAGCTGATAGAAGCATATATATGAAGTTGTGACTCGTTCGGTCTGTGAGCATCTCAAGCATATTCTGCTACAGTACTGTTTTCTGAAGGAAAAAGAATTCAAAGGGATTGCTGTTATTTTTCTTTCTAATAAATAAATGAATGTGATAAATAGCGATAGCAATTACAGTGGAATAGAAATGTAGCCTGGTGCCCTGATATATTTGAAGCTGACTTTAACATATGGTTTAATAAGCTGTTGTTACTATTTTTAAACGCAACATTTAAGAAAAAAGGAAGGTAGTGTGTGGAGCTACAACCTATAAGGAAGAAATGTGGGGGTGTGTGTATGTATGTAGGAATGGATTTACAAGTATAGCACCCTGGATAGGCAGCTTGGGTGAATTAATTGTTGTAGACACTTTTGTCAATTCCCAAACCCATTTTAATTGGTCAATAGTACTGACATAGTGCTGAACTAATAGTTGATAGTTGAAGTGCTTAAGTTAATCTTTTTCCATCTCTTTGAAATTTAGGATGGTACAGCAGTTTTCAGTGGACTTTGAAAAAAGAATTGAAGGATCAGGAGATCAGGTCGATACACTGGAACTTTCAGGTGGTGCCAAAATCAATCGTATTTTCCATGAACGTTTCCCTTTCGAACTAGTGAAGGTATTTATCCATCTTGGTAATGTTACTTTTTGTCTTATTTATGTATTCCTATTTCAATACCAAAAGTACTAAAGCAAAGATAAAGCTTGATGTGAGGAACATGATCTTTACTGTAGAAGAAATTTCATTACGTGATTATTGAGACATTTAGCTTTTTTTCTAGTTATGGGTACAGAGATACAATGAAGATTCTGAAGTATGGCAATATGAATATAATTATAGTCCCAGCTCCTATTATTTTTCATGCTTTTTATTTTTTTCTCACTAATGGCATTTTCTTTCTGGTTAGGTGGGGAAAAGAAACAACTACCATTGGCAAATTTCAGTTGCTGTGTTCAAGTAGCTAGTACCTGTTAAAGCTACACAAATGAAACATGTACATTTTGCAGGTTATTTTCTTGCTTTTTTCAGAGCATAAGACAAAACTGATTTTCTGTCCCGTGTTTTCATAGTGGAAAGGGGAGAGGGAGTGGAACAGGTTCAAATTTGGTGTTTAGAGATAACTTTTTTTTTTCCTCCTGATACATCTCTTGCTTACCCGCCTTCTGAGTGACAGAATAAACTACAGTGGTCTGTGAACTAAGAAGCGGTCAACTGAATTCATGTTGTGTTCTTTTACCTTTTCTTTCACTTCAATGATCCTAGTTTCCCCTCTCTGTGAGTCCTGCTGTATTTCCAGTCTTCGTTCTTTGACGCTTTTCCTAAGTTTCCTTGTATTTTATGTATGGCTGCCTCAGTAATCACTTAGCTTTCAGCTGGGTGAGAATCACACAGGTTTTAGCTAGTTCTGAGGTTTAAATATGCTGTGCCAGCTAGCACTTCAAGAGAACAGGCTACAGTTGGGATTACATAGTGAGCCTTTCACTTGTGACAATACTAAAATATTGTCAGCTAGTTTGCTTTTGAGGAACATGAAGAAAAGGTTTGTAACTCCGAGACCATTCATTCCTCTCTTAAATTTGGTTGAAAAACAGTAGGATGGGAAATTGAGGATTGTATGGGAACTGCTGAATCAAGGCCTGAACCTCTAATTGATCACCTGAGGCGAGCAGTGAGTCGAGTCAGCCATGGGAGCACAGGTGAAGGCAACTCTCCTAGACCCCATTTAAGAGCTGACTGCCAGTGGGGAAGGATGTCTTCTGGAGATCTCTCCTCTGGAGTTTCATAGTGAGCCCAGGATATGGGCAAGCATTGTATCTATTCTCTTTTGGTATAATAACTGCTAAGCTAAACTCTCTGGTATATTTCATAATTATAACATCTGTACGTTCACTGATTGTACAAGGATAAGCAGAGAACGTGGCGGTGTAAGTTGTACCACTGCATGAAACCAGACTTAAAAATAAATAAATAATTTGTGTCTTTAAAATGTTGTTTCTGGCTTTATCCACCAACTATTGTCTCTTTTGGGATGAGCTGCAAGATCATTTCAGCTGTTTGATATATTGGGAATAGAAGGGTGCATAATTTCTAGCAGTCCTAACTATTGCTTGTAGCCTTAGTGTTAAAACATTTCATAATACTTACCTTTTGTTCAGCATGATTAAAGATTAATGTTACGTTAGTTGAGCTTGCCTGTCTTCCAGTTATACTGGAAAAAAATAATATTTTCTATTTCACTTCAAAGCTTCCCCTAATGTGATCTCAAATGTTTTTGTTCCTTTAGATGGAGTTCAATGAGAAAGAGCTGCGGAGAGAAATAAGTTATGCAATCAAGAACATACATGGTATCAGGCAAGTGCACCCCTATTTTCAAGGCTGATCACAGGTCATCTTAACCTGTGGATGTGCTGATTGTTGATTGCTAGACTACATTTCTAATGCACTGCTTCCAATAGCTGATGTTTCTTCTACTCCTTCGTACTTCTCTTTTTGAGGTAGCTATTTTGGGCTGAACAGCTGGTTTGCCTGGAGATGTTTAGTTTACTTGAAAATCTTGGAAAATTATTTTATAGAGAAAATCATTTACTTTTATTTCCTGGTACGGCAGGCTGGAATGTATAACTATAATTTTCAATGTAACGTAAGCTTTCTACTGTATAAAGCTGTTGGAATTGGTGTAACTGATTGTAACTATACTTTCACGGGGGAGAAATTTTTAGCTCTCCCTTTTCTGCTATTACTTAGTCACCTTACCAGGTAAATCAGTCTAGAATGTAAGGAAGACTTTTTTCCTTTCAGAAAATGGTATAGAGCAATGAAGCAATGCAATTTTGCACACACACTCACTACAGACAAGTCAGAAACCTGTAAAAAGCACACAATGAAAGCATAAGTCCAAAGGCTAGCTATGAGGCTGTCTGGAACTTGACATATCAGTGGATTGAAAGTACTGCTGGGATTTAGGAATGTTGAGACTGTCACAGCTGAGTGAAGCTCTTCTTCAAAGAATGTCTCTTAAATGCAGTCATTCAGTGGCCAAAAATGTAAGCGAGAGATTTGCTCGACAGTTAATACCTACAAAACACACAAAGAAACTTTCAAATAAATGCTGTAGCACTCAATAGTATTTGCACATGGCTTAATCTGTACCTCTCTTCATGATATCATTGGCTTTTTCCTGGTATGCTGCAATGGTAAATGTGTCCAGATACTAAATAGACCTCACCTCAGACATTTTCTGCCCATCCTTTAGGCTTACACATCCTATCCGTTTTGGGATGCCTTATCAAGGTCATAGTTTTCTTTACTGAAGAGCTATCACATAGGCTTTTCTGCCTTTTTACTTCAGAATTGGTGCCAGAAGTAATTCTAGCTGCCTACTTTAAGGAAGCAAAGTTTTTGTTAACATTTGTGCGTCAAGTAGTGGTGATAGAGCCGAATCCATTGTAGCTTTCACAAACGTAACTGCATAAAGCAAGAGGAGACTAAGAATCTAAATGTGACATGCATCAATAGTGGCTCATAAAGTAAATTTTTAGCTGTGGATGAATTGTGGAAATTCTTAATGTCTCCTTGTTTCTTACAGATGAAGGCTTGCAACTCCGCTCTTCTCTGTTCTTACTTCACTGATTAGATAAAATTAATTCCTGCATCTCCACATTTAGAGATGTAGAAGTCTTATAAGATAGATGTGAAGGATGTGAGAAATTACCATGTAGGTTAACTGGCGCTGCGAGAGGTCCATAGCAGGAATAACATAGAACCTTTCTAGGGAATGTCATAATCTACAAACATATTGTAATGCAATATCAGCTACTGTAAGCTGAACAAAAGACTTTTTATTTAGGGTTAAAATAAGTTCTCCAGCTTCTTCATTGCAGCATTATGTACCAAAATCTGAAAGCAGCATGTTACCTTAAGCAATCTAATGGCATAGAATTTCCTTCCCTTCTTTGAGATTGTTGCTTGTCTCAGTTACCTGATGGGGGTTCATCTTTTGGTGCAAGGCACTTAGAAATCAAAGAAATCAAAGCTCACAAGGCTGTTCTAGCACTCTGTGTAGTGCTGGCAGCTTTGTTCTTCTTAAATCAGTGACAATTCATCTCAGATTTTGATGGACATCTCACTATTAAGGTTTGTGTTATCTAGCATAGGAAGATGACTTCTGGCCATTTTTGGTGAAGAAACCATCAAAGCTGGAAGTTAAACATTCCTTGCTGTGCTCCATCGCTGGCTTTCCATTTAAATGGACAGCACTCTGGCAGGCTGCATCTCCTGAAAATGCAGTGTTTACTGTGAAAGCTTTTTCAAGAATTTTGCCTTATTGGTGGCAAGATCTTGAAGAAAAATTTGTGGTGACAAACTAATAGTTCAGGGTGTCTTTATAGTTTGTGTCTTTTTTTAATATAACTTACGTTGTATTGAGCTAAATCTTGCTGTTTGTGTTTGAAAGAGAAGGAAGGGCTGTTAGTTTAGAACTGGTTCTACAAGGTACCTGTCCATATAAGGTTCCTATATGCTGCAGTGACAAACTGAATTTCTCTTCATAGGACCCTGAGTAATAAAACCATCTTTACTGTTGTGACTGAAGAGGGAAAATACATCTGTGTAAATCTTATTGGTTTGTTATGCCATTGGCTGTACAAGAGCACTACTGCTGCCATTCCTCTCTCAGGTTTGGTGCACTGCTGAAGAAGCTTCACAATATTATTCCAATACTTTTTAGAGTTCTCATAGTCATCTTCAAGAAATACAGCATGCTTAAACTTACATATTCTTGCAATACTGTAACAGTTTTTAAAGAGAAAAGAGCTAATCTAGTTCAATGGAAGGCAGTTTGTGTAAGGATACTGTTGTAATTCAACTACAAGTTTCTGAAAAGGCAGATGAGCAATCAGGTTTAAAAAGAAATAAACTTCCTTGTGTGATGTTTGTATTATAATCTTACATATTCTTTCATGTCCACAGAACAGGTTTATTTACTCCAGATATGGCGTTTGAAGCTATTGTTAAAAAGCAGATAGTGAAGCTGAAAGGACCTTGCTTAAAAAGTGTGGATCTAGTGATGCAGGAGTTAATCAACACTGTCAAGAAGTGCACTAAAAAGGTAACTTGCAAGTAGGTCTGGTAATGTAAGTAGAATGTAATTTTTATAGTAGTTAACACAAAGTCTTTCTTGCATTTTATGGTATTATAAAAGATATTGTTATTTTATCTGAAGAGTAAGACTCTAAATAGTTACAACTTCTGTCAAACTCCAAACAAAGTAATAATGAAAATAACAGCCAAAAGTAGCAAGTCCTCGAGTAGGTCTGGGATGTGAGTACTGATGTACTGAAATTGTTGAAAAACATCCTGGCTTGTTCTTTGCATCCCTCTGAATAACACAACTTTTTGTACCAATGAGGAGATAAATGAACGATTTCTTAAAACAGGGCAGGTTGATCATCCTTTGGTGAAGATTGTAGGGAAGTGTGGAAAGGATTCATGATATTTTGAGCTGAATTTGGATGATATTGTTTGAGTTAATTGTGCAGATTCTTTCCCGTTGTTGGCTGCGATTACTCTTGCATTCTATTGATCACATCTTAAAGTACCATTATTGAGATGTAAAGATGTAACGTGTTGCCACAAGGTGGAGCCTTTAAAGAACAAGAAACTTGGAAAATACTGAGAATGCTGCTCTGGAATTACACACAGAAGAAGAGCAAAGCGTAGAGATGTCACTTCAAGGCTGATAAATTTGTCAGTTGGTAGTATGGGCTCTACCCTGCTCACTTTTTCATGAGTAAGCACACTTGCTGCATATCACATCTTTTAGAGTGTGCTCAATGTTCAGGTGTCATATACAAGCTTTTGTTTTGCTTTTTTCTTTTTAGTTTGTTTATTTGGATTATTCAAACATCCATCTTATGGGTAATACTGCAGCTAGTATAAGTTAGAGTAGCTAAGCAGGATAAGTGAACAACTTAGAGGCAAACGTACCAACCAGTTTAAAAAATAGTTAATATTTTGTTGTCCATCTTGTGATAACAGTCAAGGAAATAAGATAACTCATCATGGAAGTTCATTTCTCAAAGTTATGTGACTTCTGAACAGTCAGGTAGAAGTATGATTTCTTCTTGGAATGGCTTACGATTTGTGTTTTAGCTGCTGAAGCTTTGTTGCAGAGTTCTTGTACATGTCCATTCAGAATCTGTATATTGAGGAAGACAACCTTTACCTAATGCCTTCCCTTTATCTTCTATGGAGATTTGTGTCAGAAATGGGATGTATTCAAAGGATATGCAATTAGTTAAGAGTGAAATGCTACGTTGTAAGACTGGCCTTTCTAACCTATTATCCCAGATCTGCAGTGGGAGTCTTCCCACACCTCTGAGCGAGATTGGTTGGATTCTTGTGAATGTTTAGATTTCAGTGATGCAGTTAGTTTTATTCCAAACAATCCTTTTCCTCCTCATTGTTCTATAGAGCAAAAACACAGAAAAAAAAGTCCAAGGGTTTACGTCCCTACAGTTTCTCTGGAAGATCACTATTAATAGCAAGGGAGGCTTACATTCGCCAAACCATTTATAATACTTGCTTTCCTCCAAAAAAGAAAGTTGAAGTTCCTTTGTTTACATGTTATTGAAGCTATCCTGCAGATATGAATTTTTAGTGTTTTTGCTTTTCAGTTGGCAACCTATCCAAGATTATGTGAGGAAACAGAAAGAATTGTTGCTGGCTACATTCGTGAAAGAGAAGAGAAGACCAAGGATCAGGTGAGAATACACAGGAGTTCAGTGTTCAGGGAAATGTATGGAGGAAGGAAGTTATTACACGTAAAGTAAAATAACAAAAGATGTTTTTTGTAGCAGCAGGCTACACACTTGAGAATAGGTTAGAAATTGCTCTTCTACCAGTAAGCTTTGACAGAAGAGACTAAATTGATACAGAAAATCCTAATCTGGTCTTTCAAGATAAGTAGAAATGGCAAGCAAAGGTACTGGCAGTACAGCTCCAGCATCAGACATCCTCCCTGTCAATGCCTGTGGACCCAAGAGGTAGGCTGATGTCCTGATTCTTAATGATTTTGCCTTCCCTAGTAACAGCTAAACAACCTAATTTAGAATAAGCCTTTTATTCCTCTGCTTTATGGTGAGGAACTGAGTCCTTCGTTATAGGTTCATCATCTTCCTCCTCATTGTGCTTTTTGTGTACTTCTTGGAAATGAATGTGTTCCTTTCACAGAGAGGTACGAGAGGATGAAAAGGTGATGAAAGAAATTACTATCTGTTTGTTTTATTTAGACACAATGACTGTAATTCTTCTGTCCCTCTTAATGAAAATCTGGGCATATATTTCTGGGAATTACTATAAAATAAAAAAGGAGTTAATCATTATCATAGATTAACTCAGGACAGTTGGCATCTTCATACAATCTCTAATGCTGTTTTCTGTTTAATGTGAAAGTGGAACCCAGATATGCTTCTCTAAGTGCTCAAAGTTTCTTTTCATTTCCTCCTCCTTTTTTCTCTTAACAATACTGATGATAAAGAAGAGGTGCTGTTGTATCAGCGCTGTGGTTGTGAGTTGGGTATAATGATCTCCTGATTGTTTTATGAGCTGGCTGGGCATGGTCCAGCTCCAGAATTGCATTCAGGGTAATGCAACTTTCCTCTTTATCCCAGGGCTTAATGGCTCAGAAACAGCATTATTTGACTGGGCAAGCAGCCTCTGGGTGACAGCACCTTTTAATCCAGTGAGCTCAAGATATGACTTAAGGATACTGGGCCTCAATGGCAATGTTGGCTTAAAATAGTGTTAGCTTGTTCCTGTACCACAATGCACAGAGCTGAGCAATTTGGCCCTGTCTGTCTCTGGCCATGTTGACAGACTTGCTGAGGTGCATAGGTTAGAGCCACTGGAACTGACCATTGAAGGCTATTGTGTGCTTTGAAAGGTAGTATCTCCAATGTGAAGATTAGAAAGTGATCTCTAAAATCAGAAAGAAAAAGTCCCTACTTTTAACTTCTTCTAAAAGACAGGGATTGCTATTAGGTTGGTCATTTCTAGTTGTGATATTTTAAACTTGGTTTTGAGAGTTCGTTAATCAGTACCATTCAGGTTCATGGATATATAGCTTTTCTGACTATAGTTTTCCTTGAAGTATAGAAAAAATAAATGAATAAAATGCAGAGAAATGTTTTTAAAATATTTGTTAAGCATTTGCAGTTAATTTGCATAAGCATTTGCATAATGCAGTTAAGCATTCCAAATCCAGGAAACTTTAAGGCTTGGACTACATCTGAGAAAATTTACCGAGGATGGAAATGGAATTATTGTCTGGGGAATGCAGAGTGTGACAGGAAGTATAACTGGGGAAGAAGCATTGAGCAGTGCTCCTTAGTTCTCGGCTCTGACTAGTTCTCTCCACGTGCAAGATAGTAAGCTGTGCAGCATATTCTGCTTCTTTACAATCACAGAACAATTTAAGCGAAGTCTTAAATAACTTCTAAGAACATAGTGGGCATAAGCTTGCTGAGTGTTCTAGTTGACTCATTTGGTTTCTTCAAAATTTGGAAGAAGATGTTTAGAATAAGTAGTTTCTCTTTTTTTTCCTCCCATTCTTCATTATGTGCTTATACCTGGCAATTTCCCAGAACAATGTACAAAATACCATCTTTCTGTGTAAGCCAAGAGTTTGTCAAATACGTTATTCACAGCCACATCATTATTTATGCTGTTAGCAGCTTATCACGATTAAATCAAAATTCTAGAGAGAATTTTTTTGGAGGTAAGAGCTAGACTGAAATCCCCGCTATCTTTTGCACAGCGTGAGGCACTACATGTTTGTTAGAAATGATGGGGAGTTCAAGAGTGATACTACATTTGTAGAGCTGTGCAGAAATAACTACACTTTGAGGAGTATGAAAGGATCCAGGTGGAGTTATTCGTAGTGCTTAGGTCTTGCTCATAAGCACAGTATTGTGATGCCTTGATAGGGCACAATAAAGCATGTGGAAGTTAGGGTCTCTTGGGAAAAAAATAGATGGGACTTCTTTGTTAAATAAAGAGAGCCTGGTATTCTAACGAAGTGGTCATTATGTCAGTATTTTATAAAAGTAAAACTCATACTTCATTTTCACTGCTGAGGCTTATCCGTCCCAAGTGTTGTCCTTTCAGTCTGAAAATGGCATTTACTGAGGAGCTGACACCTCAAAGGCATCAGTGTGGGCAGTGGGTAATTATGCAATTTAAATTGTTAGCCCTGGTTGTGAAGCTCTGGGTGGGAGGGAGGAGAAGACACTAAAGGCTTCCTCTTTTGTGTTCAGCAAGGTCCTGTGTGAAGTGTTGGGACTTCTGTGATAGCAATATGTTTCCTCTTAACTTCCTGCTGATAAACGGAAGTCTGGAAAGATGAAGGGAAAGTACAGTCATGGTTCCCTTCAGTCTCATATCTGTTCAAGAAGCTGTCCAAGGGTGGAATTGAGCTTTCTCCTATGCCTTATTAAACTCTTTGCCTGGGTAGATTATCATGTTTGATTCAAATTTGCATCTAAAAGGACTAGCAAGTAGTAAGTTGAAATTTTGCTCTTTCACAGATCACTTGTTTCATTATTTCATTGACTAACTTATCTCTTGTGCATGGTGTCTGCATCAGAATGGCTGCTTAGTCCCTGGACTGTACATTTCCTGTCACAGTTCTAGCTTATGTATCACTTCTGTGTGAGGTACCTAAAGCAAACGATGGCCTGATATTGTAAGGTTCCTTGCTGGCTTGACTGAAACGGTCCAAGTAGACAGGATTAGACCTAGCTTGCAAAAACTTGTTGCATATTATTAAGCTCTTGCTGACAACAGATAGTTGGTCTTAAGGAGCTGAGCAAATGCAAGTTGGTGAAAATTATGTCTATCAGAAGGGGGAAAAAAAAGCAGCAGAGGGAAGTGTTAAGCTTTCCTGTAATCTAGCTTATTAACCAAGTATATGAACAGAAGTGGTAGGACTTAGCAAACTTTTGCTCGAACAATTATGTAAGAAATATTGAGAGAATATGGAGAAAAATGAAGGTTTCTTTTTCTCCGTTTTTCTCAGTCTCACTCTTCAACCTCACCCACCTTTTTTTTTTTTTTTTTTGGTCTGCTGTCTCCCCTAATAGGTGCTGCTGCTGATTGATATCCAGGTTTCTTACATCAACACCAACCATGAAGACTTCATTGGCTTTGCAAAGTACGTACATATAGATTCTTTGTTATAAAGACACTGGAAGAGTGGGTTTTTTTCTTAATTTAAATGAGTTCAACATGTGTCATGCTGTGACAATGGGGATGGAAGCTGCAAAATCCCAGTCATGCAGGAGGATGCTCTTTTTCAATATATGCTTGTAGTGGATTCTTTACCCTAGTTCACAAATCTGATTTCACTGAGGATTTCATCTTGGTTGGGAATCACATCGATTTTTAAGAGGGGGCATTGACAAAGCTGTTGATGTATCCATTTTAGGGACACAGAAATGTATGTTATTGTAGTCTCTCCTTGTTGCTAATGCTTGTTTTGGGAGCTGTGATTCTGTGTAAAACAGTTTTGCTTGGAGTTAAACATATCACTGAATTTAAGTGTCAGAAGTTTAAGTGTGCCTGCTGTTTGGCTGTAGAGAATAATAGCAGAATAACTTCCAGAGCCTGCTTTGACATTCTCCTCTTAATTGAAAAGATTGTGAGAATATTCTCCGAAATGTTCTCCCTCAGCTCCCAGCCAGTCTTTTTTTTTTTTGTCAGAGACTTCATACCAACTCCTTGACACTTGTAAAAATGTTAAAGATGTCTCTGTACTTTGACAAATAAATGTTTCTTCAGTCTTATTCATTTTCTATAACAGTGTTTGGAATCGTAACGGGTTTCATCTACGTGTGGTGCTGGAAACTAAGTTTGGCAGCACTGTACATGTTATATTATGGCCTATTCTACTTAGCACTGAAAAGGAAGGTCTACAACTTGGACAGCGTGTCTTGAAGCTATAATACAGAATTCAAAAAGCTGAGAATGGAAAAGGCAAAGTGAGGCACTGTTTGTGTTTAGCTTGAACAACTTTCTCTGATATTGTTTTCAGGTCCTGGATATCTTTATCAGTTCTTTTGACAAATGACAGGATGTTGTAGGAATGGTAGCTGGCCTTCTAGAGGTCAAGACAACAACCTGCCTGCTATTTGCTTCACTTCATCCTCTTCTGACAGGAAAAAGCCTGCTGAAAACACTCCATTACATAGTAGTGGTGTGTTGTGACCTTGGGAAATCACATAGAGAAACAATGCTGAGTTCAGACCAGTTTGCTCAGGGATTTGTCCTGAAAATGTCCAGGGAAAAAAAAACAGATTCTCCAGGTTCTCTGTGCAATCCATCCCAGTCAACTCTCTCCTCACTGTGAAAGATGTTTCCTTATGTCAGATTGGAGCCTCCTACTTACGGCCCTGGATTCTGGAGTGCCCAGGTATATTTGGAGCTGCTTCATGCCTCTTTCCTGGAAAAATCCTGCTCATGGATGCTGTTTTTAGGGCCTGTAGTTCAGTCTGTGGACCTCACTGCTACATCCTTTTCCAAATAGTTGCAGTGTCCAGATTCTCAGCAAAGCTTCTTCCTCTTTAGCCAACTGAGATCTGGAAATTCCCAGCCCTTTTGTGAGGGACATGAGCAGATAACAAATGGCTCTAGACAGTTTTACTAATAACTAGAAGTTTAAGCAAGTCTGTATAGGAGTTGAAATTGATGAGTAGGCAAGTTATTTTTATTGACTTGTGATCAACTGGAAGAGAAAACTTGGTTAATTAAGAGAAATTTAAGATGTAATATTTATTTATGACCTGAACGGTAGAAAATACACATTTTAATCTATGATCATATTGTTGTTTTAGCAATTATGCTAAAACTTGAAAATGAAATCATTCTGGGGGGAGCATGCAAACCTCTGCAGTATCTAAACATCCTGAAGTGTAGCTTCCTCAGATTTCCTACTGTTTCCTTTTGATTGCTGAGTCTTCTAACCAGCTGTCTCCTGTGACTGTATTATTTCACAAGCGTAAGTCCAGTGAACCTTCTTCATATGAATGAGAGCTCAAGGCATTTCACACTGTTGTGCAGCATTGCAGGGTTTGGGGTGGTTACAGTGTGATGTGAATTGGCTTCAGAAAGTTTTAAGAGTGCCAATATTTAGAACAACTTTACGTAACTGCGAAGAAATGTATTCATTTTGGGAAAATCTTAGAATATTAATACTTGTCTCATTTAAGTGGGGAATGACTGGTAAAATGCAGGGATTGGGTTTGTTTCCAATTTGTGTAACTCAAACATAACTACATGCTTCAATCTGCATGAAGAGTAATTTGTATTTAGAACAGTAGATGGACTACTGCTAAAAGATGTGGATTTCTTAGTATGACATTAGTTGTCTATTTAATTGTCTTCCATAAGACAATGAACCGAAAGAGAAAAACCAGCAACGATCACTGTAAGAATGGCAGTTCAGTTTTGTGAAGATGCATTGTGCTTCTCAGGCAACTGATCAGATCTGAATTATTGCTCTGTTTTCTATATCCAGGTTATTTAATCACAATTTGTGCACCAAAGTTATGATGATGCGTGGGAAACATGAACTGCTATTTGACCAAAAATATTGAGAACTAAGCCCAGCAAACAGACACATCACTCTGGATATTCTCTCTGACAGTGTGTGGATTGCTGGTTTGATAGATTATGGCCCTAAGGCATGATCAGAGTTGGGACAGAACTGAGTTATGATGCTCCAGCAATTCTTTGGATCAGTATCTCTGCATAAAATGATTTCAGCCTTGGGAACTTCAGTTGTGATCTAAGCACATCTATCTTTCTTACTCTTTCAGAATAATGTTATAGCTATCTAAATCTGTGCTTTTTTTTTCCTGTCATTTAATCAGTGCCTGCTGAAATAGTATAATGTAATCCAAAAAAAACTTGCTGTCACCAGTGGCTGCTCTGGTGGTAAAGTAGCAGAAGCCTACTGTTAGAACATCTATTTCCTATTTCCAGCAATATTGCAGTTGTATGGCCTACCATGTAGAAGCTGCATAATGCAAAGGCTTTTAAAATTAAGAACAACTTGTGTATTTGGTAAAGGAATGTGTTTTGTTTCAGGAACTGGGATTACCAGAGTTCAAGAATTAAGAAAAATATTTTAAATGTTATAATTTTAAATGTGTTCTGTTCTTACAAGGTTCCAGGTTTTTGAACCAACTTCATGGCAGCTTTGTCCATTGGTTACATTTACACCCTCAAAGTGCATATAAATATTAGAACAATATTCAAAACAAACTGTCAAGACAAAGCTATTAAGAAGTCTCCAGCAGGGGAGGATTTTGTTGTAGTGCTCTAAATAACAGAAATAACTCATTTTTTTGTCTTTTTTTAATATTTATTGAAGCTAACATTTCCAAAGTTACCCAGATGAGCCGTAATCTCTCTGTTTTTAGTAACTTTTACCGTTGTAAGTAGAACGTTGTTGCAAAGGAGGTGATTGGTAGGGGCTGTTTGTGCATCTCTGTTCTGTGCTAAGCAGGCAAATATTCCTATAAAACGAAGTAGGTGGAAGTGTAAAAGAGGAAAAAAACACAGTGAAAGATGCACGTATATGCAATGATTTTGCTGTGTTTCTTTGTTACACTGGCTTTATGTGCTGGAATCAAAAGTAACTATTATTGCTATAATCTGCTGCTCAGGAACTGGTTTAGTTTTTGAGTTTCTTCAGTATAACATTTTTCCTCTGCTTTCCTTAGTGCCCAACAAAGAAGCAGTCAGGTTAACAAAAGTGCAGTGGGAAATCAGGTAGGCACCTTAACAGAGAATGGATAATGGCATGTGCAAGTTAATCCAAGCTGTCTGGTGTACTTGGCTGCATTTATTTTTTTGTGGATCTATAATTTACCATTTCTGCATGAAACACATAAAATGCATTATCATCTCCTTGTTTCACTGAAGTTTTCAGAGCCACCTGAATTTCATTGTTACCATCATTACTTATTTAAAAACGTGCTACTGCTTGCCCTTCTGGTTAGTGCTTCCCCTCCCACGTCATTTAATGCATTGAGTCTTTCATGTTACACACAAATGCATTTTTCCATTAACTGCAAGCTTGTGAATTTCAGAATCCAAAACACTGGTGAGTACTTGCTTGTGTGTTCTTTGTCACATAGTTTTTTTTTCTTGTTCTCATGTGCTCACAGCTTAATAGCAGCGAAGGGGCAATTCAGCAAGCAAAAACAGATTTGCCCTTACCTCTGAAAATTTTCAGTTAACTTCTTGAAGATGTTGACTGTGTACTGTCATTTTCTTTTGACCCGAACAAAAAATAAGTGCTGATTTCAGTCAAATTAGTGTTTTCACTGAGATTCATTCATAAAACCAGTTGGCTTTTTGTTTTTATCTGATAACGATATGGAATTGATTCTGCAAGGTGCGAAGTGCTGCTGAGCTTTGCTTCTGTGCTCTTGTGTGAGCCAGGGGTACTTGGTACTTCACAGGATCACTCCTAGTTTAATGTCAAATTAAAATAATGAAAATGCTGCTGAGCATTTCTGCTTGCTTTGAGTGTTTTGCAAAGTCTTGAGCAGGGAAAAAAAAAAAAAAGGAAGTATTGTAGAAATAGTGCACACTTTAATGGGTTTCTGAAAATTCTACTAAAAAAAGCCAATCAGATTCAGTGTAAATAATTACCCACATTGACCATCTTCCTGATGCTTTCGTGAGCAATGTGGTCAAAGGTGTAAGGCTGAAGTTCTCATGTGTGACCGCTGAATATAGATCCCTCGAGTACTAAACCTGAGATTTCAGAAAGTCTCTATCTGTGCTGTCATAAATAAGAGGTTATAGGATTGACTCAGCTGTCTTTTTGGAGATGGAAAGCCAATCTCCTTCTCACACCAAGAAATTGGAAGTTATTTTATTAAGACATTGGTCAAAATTACTCCATTAAGTTCTTGAATGTGATGCTTCCCCAGAGCCTGAGCAGCGTGAGTGACATTTCTGCTGTAATGTATGGTTTGGACTAAAATGAAAAAAGTTAAAAGGTCTAAATGCTGAAAAAGCTTCAAAGACTTGCCTCTCCCCTCTGAGGAGAGATTTCCTTCTTATCTAGCTGTGCCGGAACATGTGTCAAACACAACAACTGTCATCACTATGGAGTGTCCCATAAAAGGAAAATCAGCCAGTTATCTGACTCTTCAAAAATACACAAATGAAATGAATGATTTTTTAATTAAGTGAATGTTCTCTCTCTAAAGAAGTGAAGATGAAGCTGGGAGTTGTAAATTGTACACTGCAACCCAGTTACTCATTGGTATAAAGGGCTTTGCTGAACCTTTTATTTTAAAGATAATAAGCAGATGTTTGTAAGTTAATTGTTTGGAGTTGAAAAGAATGAGAAATGTTTCTGAAATAAAACTTCACTTTTGCAATTTGCTGTTTCAGGGAACCAATCTACCGCCTTCAAGGCAAATTGTACGAGCTAAGTTCTGTAAGCTTTATTGTTGCTTTTTCATTTAGCTTCTCAGAAGAAAAGTTTGTCTCTAACTCATTGAGTTTTTTTTAATACTTGCTACTAAACTACTTCATATTGAGCTATTTTGTTTGTAACCCTTCCTCAATGAAGTATAATTGCAGTTCATCACTTAACTGCCACTAATGTGCTGTTACAAGTATGAACCTAGCATAACTCAAAATGCTATAGAAAATGTTGAATAAAATTAATATTTTTATAGTTTACCAAGTTTCTCAAACTAAAATGACTAACTGATGTTTATTATATAATTGGAAAGCAGTGTTTATCTTGTGTGAGTGCCTCTATTTATAGTAAACCTTTTCAATTTTATTTTTTGAAAGGGTGGGTGAATAATAGTTTTTGGTAATCAAAAACAATTTAGCTGTTGTGGAAATGAACATGCTGTTTATGGTTGCAGGTACTATTACTGGCATTGTTGGTTTACATAAAGTAATTACCTCCAATAGAAGAAATAAAAATATCTGAAGCCTCTTCAGTATTCTTCTCAAAGCTCATTTGGATCAGTCAGTATATGATGGACAGATTCCTTTCTACTCCTTCCATCTCATGAATAAATAAAAATGCGAATGCATTTAATATTACTAATCAGAATTAATTGCCGAAACAGCAGGCAATTTTATAGCAAGGTATTTCTGGTTCAGTGATGTTTAGGTGTAAGAAGTAAATTTCTACCGTGTGCATTATCTGATATCTATGCTGAAAATATACACATTTTTCCAGTTTGGGGCCATATCTTTAAATTGTATGACTAAAGAGTTTAGTAAAGGAAAAAAAAGGGCTGAGCAGCACTGATCCTGACGGCAGTGGAATTGAATCTGTCAGGGGAATCAAGATCATTCAGTTTTCCTGCATTTTTGGAGTGCTTGTTTGCAATCACATTGCTTTTCTTTTTTGTGATGTGCTTTGAACTGGTATGATGTAAATAGCTATTGACTGTCTTTATGCATCTCAGAAATATGTTGGGCAATGTTGTATTTTAGGCAAAGAATGCAATGCCAATTCCTCTTAACATGTTTTTGCTCCTTTTTCTCCTGCTACTAATTTATCCTCTCATGCTCAATCTTTGGCCTCTCTTGTTTTTTCTTTTCTTTGCTACCGCCTGAGGTTTTGACCTGACTCCACAAAGTTTCTTTTTAAGCCACAGGTTAGTTTGTCTTCTAATTTGCTTGAAATAATCGATATAATGCTTAGTTTTGCACAACACACTAACAAGATCCGGATCCTGGAGGCTGGTCTGCGCTTAGCTGTTGTATTATGTATGTTGAGATTTGTTTTTGTTGAGAACTTCCCTTCCTGATAAACTTCAGAAGATGAGGATGTTATGATCCATGTGCCCAGTCAGGATCACTGTGTGTGAGAATGCAAACCGCTCAAATTACAGAGGATTAAATTTCACCTATATAAAAATTCTGTTCTGTGTTTCTGCTGCTGTTCTCCAAGTTGCCCATGTAATTGGAGGAGGAGATTAATGTCAGTGTAGTGACTCGGGGGTTTGGGTACAAAGGTTTTGTTTGACCCACCTCGTTTCCAGCACGACACCCATAATCTGATTCACTTTCTCTGAATGCAAGTAGCATTCAGACCCTGGCCTCAGCTATTGTGCTAATAAGTAGCTTTTTGCACTAGCAGTATCTTTTTTTCCTGTTTCTTTTTTTTTTTTTAATTAATTGACATAGTCTTGTCTTCAGATGCACTTGAATCATGTTACCTTGAATGTCCCAGGAAGAAGCATATTTACAAATCTTTTTTTACAGCAACTGGATGGAAGTGGAAACGTGTACCCTGCTCAGTGAGGTGGTCTCAGAAAGTCCTGAAGAAGCAGTTCTGTTAAGACATGCCAATGTTTATGTGAGGGATTCTAGAAGTGGAGCTCATGAACAGTAGCATAATGCTAAACTTTGAAATATCCTTGAACAAGTCATGCTGCTGTTGAATTTTCACCTTATCGGGAGTAGGGTTGTACTGTTCGAAATGATGCTTACCGATCCTTACTTTTAGATTATCATTGTGATTGATTTGATCACTTCAGTGTTTGAAGAATGACATTTGGAAGCATATTTCAGTTTTCTACTGCCGGGTGTTAGTAGACACTACAGTTTTCTTTAAATTGGAGGTGTGGACTTGGTCACTGCCATCTTTTCCTTTCTTCTGAAAGTAATGTGGTATATTGTGCAGTGATCTCAGGGAGATGATGTCATTTCAAGATGCGTTCTGTTGCTGGACACAGACAAAATGCACAATGTGTTTATATTCTGTAATTTAGCAAATTACAGCAAAATACTGCATTAGCACAGCAGTACTGATTGTAGCGCAAGAATCTTCATAGTTGAAGCTGAAGGATCAATAGCTCGTAAGGATGCCTCACTAGTTCCTGCAGTTTGTTTTCTTCCTCAGTGTGCTTGTTACTTGGTAATGCATGCTGTGTCACTGCAATTACAAGATGAAGTGGAGCTGTGTTGGGTCTGGTGTTATGCATTCAGAGGTATTTCAATGGAGTTACGTTTCTTACCCTCAGTAAAGGACTATGTTAATTCAACAAAATGCTGTGTTGTAAGGTTGCTGTAGGCAGGCTCAAGATTTTCACACTTGTATTTCTGTCTGCTCAGCCAATTTTCCTTGTCTTGCTTTAAATAGTCTTTCAAATACTTCTTTTGAAATAAGAGGAATGCTTACTGAGTCTCTTCTGTATTTCTTTCACAAGTATCTTTTTTGATTTAATGGAAGGAGCAAGTCAAACAGCAATCCCTAAAAAGCACTTAGTGTGTAAAATCCTGTTTTCCTCTTTAGCCCTGAAATGGTGGCATATAAGCACAGACGTGATTTGGATTTCATGCAGCAGAGCTGTCAGAAAGCGACTTCCTTCTGGCTTGTTCATGTGCATTTGTGCCCTCTAAGCTTCATCTTTCAGACACCCAGATTAGATATCAGGACTCTGAAGGAAGGAACTGTGTCATCTCTTGTTCATCCTGTACATGGAGTCTGACTACCGGTCAGAATATTGTCTTTGCTAGCTTCTGGCAATACTCACATTTTTCACCTTCCTGAGGCTTGTAAATCACATTGTGACTATCCGGTTTGTGCAGATTGACATTTAGAAATCAACACAGACTATTGAAGTGGATCTCCTAAATCCAAACCAACCAGAAGATGAACTGAGAAAACAATAATGAAAAACGCGACGTTCATTTTCCGTGCCGAGTAGTTGAGTACTGTACAAAATAGCTAACGTGATCGAAAACAAATAAAGCAGACACCATTGGAGTTCTTAACTTCAAAAATCTCTTTGAAAGTCTTTGCTGCTGTCCATGGGAGGACATCTCTAAAATACAGCTCGGTTTATCTTCTGAGAAATTTGCTGAGTGTAAGGTGGAACTCAGCTCTTCTGGAAATTAAAAGTGCACTGCTTAAAGTCGCTTTGTTTTGCATTTACGCCTTGATCTGACATTTCCCTCTCCCCTGACCCCAACCTTGATACTGAGTATTTTTTGTTTAAAAAATAAAAGTGTATGGGAAATTCAGTGAACAATTCAGTGAAAAGAACATAAGGTTCCACTGTTGCTCTTTGGATGTTATAGTGCACCGAGATCATATTCTCTGCCATGATGTACCCTGAAACTGCTTTCAAGTATTTTTTGTAATTATGTTTTGCTGTAGAGATCAGAAGTCAGTACCCTGTTTTTCAAGAGAGTTATTCATTAAAAGATCTAGCAATTTGCTCTCTACAAACATGTGCCCGAGGTATTGCTATAGCTTGGTGCCCTGCTCTTCGTGTCACATTGTGTGCCTAATCATCAGCACACAGGATTCTTGAGGAAGTAACTGTCAAGTTCTTTTGTTTACAAGACAGCACCCAATGTTTGTACTAGCAAGTCAGCTTGTTTCTGTTCACACTCAGTGATAGTGAAATGTGTCACACTGGAGCAGGGGGGTCTTCTGGAGCTATTGAGACAGTCTTTATAGGAAGGAAGTATTAAAAGCTTCATTTACTATTTAAATGTCCTGTATAGGTTAGACTTTAAAACCTTAGCTTAGTCTGCGCTGAGACCTCTGTTGCAAATTTCTTCTTATCAAAATGAGGAAAAACTGACTATCTTAACATTCTACAAAGTCTGTCTTTAATGATGAGTGAAAGCATTGGTTGGAATATGTAGATTATTACGTCTCATCCATTTTAAGTATTCATTACCTGTAAGGGGTTTAATCCTGCTTCTCAGGCGTTCTCACCAGTTTACTTCTGGAAACCACCCTTCTATTCCTACTGTGGTATCTGTCTTTAAATCACTTACCCTCTCCCAGATTTGTATCCAGAACAATTTGTAGTACCGTGCTGGCCTTGGCTGTTTGTGCTTCCCATAAGTGACATGTTCTACACTGGAAGCAAAACAGCACATTAAGTTGTGGACTGCATGGTTCAATGGCATCCTGTCCTATCTCCTCTTAAGTGAGCATAACATGAGGTTAACTGCCTTTGAGCATTTGCTGTGAGGTACAGGTATAGCTCACTTTGTTGAGAGGCAAAGCTCAGGTAATTAGAAATCCCTATTTGACTAAATTTTGCCTAAAATTTCTTCCACAAAGCTGCATTTGTGTAGTTCAGTGAAAATAAATTAATAATAAAGTAGATTGGTTCTACAACTTAATCTGTGAGAAATACATGAAGGCCAGTACACTTATTTGGATATATTCACGTTACTTGTTCTCTGTTAAAACTTCACTTCATTAAGCAGCAAAACGTAAAATGAAGATTTGGTGAGTAATCAAATTCTTATCAGCGTGGTTCCTTTAAGTTGCACTCAGGCCAAAAAACCTGATACTCTCAGAATATGTGCAGTACCAATATGTTTACCAGTTTGATGCAACTTCTAATATCTTTCCAACTTGGTTTCTTCCTTTGCTCAGTGCAGTGCCCAAACTGCTCAATGCCATGCTGAATGGAAGGGAATTCTGACCCTAAAACTTCATGTATGTCAAGGAGTAGATGATCGACACTGAATGTTTTTCTTGGACTGTCTGTTGATATCGGACTTCTTAGTCTTGTTAAGTTCTATGAAAGGAATGATGCATTTTCACCTTTCCTGTAGAATAGGAGGAACCTTAGGTTTGATCACACAGTCCCACACTTGTGGGACTTGCTGAGGGAATTCTGGAAGGCTTTTCTGAGCATTTTTTTTCTTTCCATCTTGGTGTCTCGTAGGCAAGGAAAGGGTTTTCTGACAGGAAGAACAGAATGGTCTGAGGTTGCCTGTATTGATGAGTTCTATTTGCTTATTCAAAGTATGATAGGAAGAAATATTTATTCATGTATATAACAGAAGAAAATAAACGTTCCAATAAAATTAAAAGTTTCCGTCTGTATGATGCATAAACGAGTTCTCATCACTGGTCTCTCTTCTGATTCATTTCTCGAGTTCTCGTTCCTTTCCAGTTTTCTTTTGTCCCTTTCTCTCTATATAAGATGGCCTCCTGGCCTTAGTACTTACAGGTCGGCTTTCCCCTCTGTTCTTCCGTCTTCAAGTTGTGTGTTTTCTGCAAGTTCTCCTTTATGCATTTCTTCAATCGCCATTTTTGTTTTGTTAGTTTCTTCTTTTTCTTCTCTTTTACCTTACAAGAGGAGAACAGCTCTCATGTTCCTGTCCCTATCACATTCTATTGAATTTTGGAGAAAGAGGACCGTGGACTGCAGAAAAATCTTTCCGCTTCTGGATGTTCCCCATGCACACCAGAAGCTGTGTGCTTCTCCAGAGAGAAGGTGCAGTTCCTAGAACTGTCAGTTTAGTCATATGTAAAGTTTAATGGACTTTGACTCTGTGCTGCTATGCAGCAAAGAAATAAAAGTTTGCATTACCCCTAGTTCATTTGTACTTGCTGTAAATACAAGATAATCTTTAGGTTTTTTTCTTTCTCCAGCTTTTTGACTGAAAGTCAGGAACTTGAAAAACACTGTTTTGAATTTACTGGGCTAAAAAAATGTATTTATTCTTGTTTTATTTAACAATTCTTCATTTAAAAGTATGAATGCAGCAACAGAATTATGTTAAATGAATAATGAACTTAACTTGTGCCTGACTGCACCTCTGCACAGGTCATCCGGAAAGGCTGGCTGACCATCAACAATATTGGCATCATGAAAGGAGGATCCAAGGAATACTGGTTCGTTCTAACTGCAGAAAGCCTGTCTTGGTATAAAGATGATGAGGTAAGAAATGAAAAAATGTCCACTAGAAAAACAATATTCATTCAGTCTTCTGAAATCACCTTAAAATATGAAATTAATACGTACTGATCTGAATGAATGATTTAAGGTTTCACCTGAGTTGTTTTAAATTCTTGGTTTTGATTTATGAAGAATGCTGACCTTCTAAGACTTCCATCAAAATGTTGGTGACAAATATAGGGTGTTGTGGTGGGTTTATTTTGTTTTGCTTTTATTTATTTATTTACTCTTTAAACTTCTCTTCCTGTGGTTTCACAGATAGATCTAAAATAGAAAAAGCCTATTTTGGAGTGGTCTGTTTATTTTTATGTGTTTGTTTGGGCTGCTCTTATATGTCTACTGTAAGTTGATCATAAATTGTTTAGTTACAGTTACTCCTAGAAGTAACTACAGCAGTTTATTTAGTGATAACAATTGTTGTCCGGCTTCATGTTCTGAGAAGCTGATAAGCCTGACTGTGGTGTTCTGTAGCCAAATGCAGTGGGTGTTCACATTTGCTGCTGGAAAGCCAGAAAAAGCCCCCTGTTAAGAAATCTTTAAATCTGAGGTGGGAAATAAGAGAACTGGAAAAAGTAGTTCTATGATAAACAAGATGTTTATGTTCCTTACTTTATGAAATATGAATATGTTGTTAGGCAATTTTGGGAATCAATTTTTTGCTGATCTGTTCTGCTTGGGCTTTTTTTTTTTTTTTTCTTCTTCCAACAATGTTAGCAATAATATCCTCTATCCAAAACTCAAAAGCAGTTCTGTTGTTACTTTGTTGTGTTAAAGGTTTAAATGGGATTATTCTGTACGCTATTTTTTTTCTAATTATCGTTGGAAAATTGGGCACAGGTAAAGAGGGAATTTTAGTGAGTGTTTATGAGTAGTAGTTACTCCAGTAATACTGTTGATGGTGGAAATCATGGTGGTCAGCAGAGTGTTTTCCCTTTGTCTGTTGCCATTTTGAAATCTTAGGTAGATGGTAGGATTGATGGACAAATTAGTTGAACCTTGAAGGTTATGCCCCTTACCCCTTTGTTTAAGGTGTATAGGAATTTGAATGTACATACTATAACAAGAAAATGATTAAATTTTCAGCCAGGGATGTGCTAGGTGGAAACAGGGAATTTAATTCTATGATCACTAAATTATAATTAATTGTGTAATTAAAAAAAAAAACAAAAAAGTGAAGTTGCCTTTATGAATGTGAAAACTTGTCTTTGTTTCTGACCTGCCTTGAAGAACTTACTGTCTTAGACTAGGTACAGGTAACTGACTACAGGTAAGTGATGTGCTGAAATCTACATGCCTTCTATTTTCCATCTCAAGCACTTGGAGAAGCATCTAAGATGTGATGTGGCAACTTCTGTGGTAGTTTTGATGTTGTTTTTTTTGTCTTATCTTTGTTTAGTGGGAAACATAAAAATTCCTCAAAATATTTATGGAATGCCCTTTGCTATGCAACTTGAAAATAACTGGTTTGTTTGTGTAGTGTGCTAGAGATAGTCACTTGGGAATCTTAAAACAGCATGTGGAGAGAATTGGCCACTGTCTGATTTCCACGTGTATATTTTAATTTTTTTAAGGTTTCTTAGTTGCCAACCAGGTGTTCTTGAGAGTCGTGGAAATACGTGGAGTTCATTCAGGCTGATATGGGAGATCGCTAGGAATCTCTTATGATAGTAAGAGAAGGTAACAGAATCATAGAATCATCAAGGTTGGAAAAGGCCTCCAAGATCATCCAGTCCAACCATCCACCCATCACCAATATTTCCACTAAACCATGTCCCTCAGTACAACATCTAGATGCTTCTTGAGCACCTCCAGGGGAGGCGACTCCACCACCTCCCCGAGCAGCCCATTAACTGCACAGTATTCCACATTTTGGGGGTGGAAGAAGTTCCCTGTTGAGTACAAATTTGCTGCATAATTTGATTATTCTGTTTGTGGAATAGTTCACAAAGTTACGTTGGGTTTCTTTTATTTCAGAGCCTTTCCCAGTAGGACTAAAAAATTAGTGAGGTCTGTTTTAGACGCTTTGTAAAAACAGTCAATGCCACCTCTTGACCATTTGGTTAATCAACAGACCGGGGGCTTGTTTCAGAAACAGGACTACTGGCTTCTGAAAATAAAGCAGCAAATATTTGCTCTCCTGGCTGAATTCCAATTTGTGTAATTATATTTAGTGTCCTTAAAATATTCTCCTTACTTTCAGCTCTGTTTGGTAGTTGTCACATCCTGTTCTCGGATCATTATAGAAAAGGCTGCATGCTGCTGAGTCTCCACCCCAGGAAGATATGTGGTGCTCAGCGACGTGTGAAGTGATACTGATGTTTACGTGTCTGCCTTGTGCCCGGCGCTGCACGGGTGTGTGTTCAGAGAGGTCACAGGGAGTTCAGGTCCCTCGTGTCCCTGCTGGGGCTCCTCCCTGGCAGTGGGAGCATCTCCTTGCGTCTGGGGGAGATGCAGCTCTGCTCTCCCCTTTGTTCTCCCAAGCACAGCAGTGAGTTCATTCCCCCTGTGCCTCTACCCCTGAGCGAGGACGGCTGCAGCTTCTGTGCACCAGAGAGCTCTGACAATGTGCTTCACAAAGCCACAGGGTTTGTTGGGACCTCTGGGGCTGTGTACCCCCTCTGGTGTAAGCTGAGCCTGTTCTGTGTAGTCTGGAATTCACTCGGAGATGAAAATCGCTCTCTCAACACGAGTAATTGCTAGTGCCATTAGGAGGATGCAAATTATTTCTTCTACTTGTAAGCTGTGGCTTTTGGAGCAGAGAGTACAGTGGAATGCGTTTTGAAGTAAAGCATTTCAAAATTTGTTGCATGGTATCAAAATTGGAAAGAAAAAAAAAAAGGGACCAATAGTTTCTTTTGCTCCTTATTGATGTGGTTTTGCTGCTGTTCAAACATGCAAGGGGATTTTAGTGCTAGATGAGATGAGAATCAGTGCCTAAGAGTTCTTTTCAATCCTGTAGTTATGGATCACCGTGGGTACAGTGGTTATGCTATTAGTATGTGTACACTTATCTGAATTAGTTTCTGGCCCTGCACACAGTTGCTTGTGTTCATAAAATTGTTGCATGACTGCGACTTTGTGCTTTTCCATGAACTTAAGATTAAGCGTGGAAAATGTTGTGTACTGCTTTGAGACTGTTGTAAATAAGTGCAAAATTAGCACTTTCATATAGCTCACAAATACAGTTTTCTTTAGTGATACTAGCTGAAGATTTATGAGATGCATCTCCTACAAATATATATATAATATATATACACACACATCCATTTGAAATCATTTCAGCTCTCAGTTGTTACTGCTTTCACACAAAAAGCTGTATCATTTTGTGCTAAGATTCACTTAAAGCCAGCCTGCAAATCTGAAGTTTTGGAATTAGTAGTTTCTACACTGGGACAATACAGGCTTTGGGAATGTGGAAAGTTGTTCCAGTGGCACAAAAGCTCTGCCATAAACAGGAGGACACCGTGGGTAAAGCAGTGCTGCATTTTACAGGGCATGGTCAGAGAACTTAATTTATTATTCTTTCCAAAGCACTCAGAGCCTCAGTGGAGACCAAAGGATGCCATGCTGGGGCTAGGATAAGAACTTCTAGAAATGTGAAATTTTTGTTAATTTGAAAAATCTTTCTAATTCTGATTTTCAAGTCAAATATTTCCTTTTTCCTTTAATAGCAAAGGGCGTATCTGGTGATAGATGCAGCCTGTGTTGTAATTTCAGTTTATTCCCAATTGTAAAATTCAGTAAGGTTTGAGAGGGAGATAATAAGAGAGGGGGGTAAGAGAGCAAAAAGGGGAGAAGTTCCTTTGGGCTCTGACATTGTGTGTGTTTCTAGGATTGACTTGCCACACAGCAAGCTGCGCTCACTTGTATGGCTAACAGCAACACTTGTGGTTCTGCACAGCAGCAATCTAAGAGCGCGAGTTGCTCGGGTTTTATGGCTGAGAACTCTCTCCTCCCATTTACTGTGGTGCCGCAGAGCTGCACGTAAATAAAACCTGTCATTAGCGAGTTAATGAGAACAACTAGGAAAAGAGTACTATAGAAAGCACAGTAAAAATTTCAGCAGTGGGTTTTATTGTATTTTATAGGCACTGTTGGTTTGACTCTAGGTGGGTTGCAGGACGCGGCTTGGTTACTGACCGACCATCTGAGATCCAGAGCGACTCGTGGCTGCAGCTCTTGCTGAAGATGCTCTGGGGTGTCAGAGCCGGCTGTCACTCAGGCTGGGTTGTCATGTGACTGCCTGTCTGTGCCTGCTGTACAGGTGAGAGGATGTTCTGCACAGCAAGTGTAGACAGGCAGACACATGACAACTCCGTCCAGCCAGTCCCTTGGAGCCATCACCGCTGGTGGGGATCGCTTTGTACCCATCCGCTCTGGGGGACTTTGTTGGGGGGAGCACACAAAACAGAATTAAACTTTAAAGCATTGCGAGCTGTAGGACAAGAACGTAATTTGATTTTATTCAGAAAAATAAGCATTTCAGTACATCGGTTGGCATTGTGCTGACATGGATCAGATACGAGTTCAACACGTGGAACGGTCTTTAAAAAAAAAAATAATTGAAGCTGTAATTACCGTAATTTATTTTATATGCAACTCATACAGGAGTCTGCCTGCGTATTGCACTCACACGTGGTAACATAACCAGATGGTTTGACTCTTCTTGGAAGCACAGAAATACTGAAGTTCAAGATAAAGGATATGTTTACACAGTACATATTTTCTAGGAGCAGATAAGTACAATAATCTTGCATGTTAAAAATAAATAAAAATCTTCCTGTACAAATGGAGACAACAACTTGCACATTTACCCAGTTAAGGGTGATGTGCTGGAAAGAAAACCAGTTGCATTTTATATCCATTATGGCAATATGTGCGAGCTGTCCCATTACCACGATCATATCACTTTAGTATTTTGCTTTGCGTATTATTTCAATTTAGCTCTCTCTCAAAATCCATAATTTGTTAGAAAACAAATT